CCTTTCCAAATGTTATTTAGGAAATTGTGAAATGTTTTGTTCTCTCTAATGCCTTAACATATACTTGACCGCATTTTTATCACCATATTTTAAAGCAATTGCAAAGATTTAAAATAGAATTTCATAGTGAAGCCAAAAGATAAAATATAAAATATATTTCTTATTATAAATGATACTCTTTACTATTTGATGTATCGCTTGAAGAGTATCTAAGGTAGAGACATTGTGTGCAAACAAAAAAAAGTGTACTTTCTTTAGTGTCGGCAATATAACCGGTGGAACAAATGGTACAAAAAAGGCAAAGAAGTTAATTTTGCCCAGAATTTCATCACTATAAATCTGTTTCAATTGGAAAGAGAGGCTCCCTCCAACAGTTAACTCGCTATAACAAATTATTGACAAGCGAGTCTTTGTATTGCCCTCTGATTAAGAACTAGAAAAGGGAATAAAAGTAAATAGGGTGGGAGACTTTAAATTTCACTAGATTAAATACGTTCTTGCATCTAGGCTTAATAGATTCATTGCATTACTTAACTTTTTATAAAAAAAATAGACAACATGTTATTTAAAAAAAAATTGTCGTTTGATTTTTTTTTTAAATTATTGTCATTCACCTTTGGTGTTACAACAGCAAATAAAGTATTAGTGTTTTATTTTGCTTTTCAATGTGTCTGATAGTACTACCGCTTCATTTAGCGATATGAAAGGGGAAATTTTAGGTAATACAACTAGAAATATTTTAGGAAAAAATCCTTGGCTGTGAAAAAGGAATTATAGTTAATTTAAAAAATATGAATTTAAGAGATGTAGAATAAGAAAATATAGGCTATTATAGTTTTACGAGAACAGTAATGGATGTAGGGGACGTTTTAACTGTTATCAAAAATGAGCTCAAAAAAACAAAGGTCAAAAAAATTAATTTTCTCACAGAGCCAAGCCTAAGCCTTCAAAGTTTTATATATTTTTAATCTACATAACATTTTCTACAAATGCTGATATTTTCATAATTTTATGCCTATGTTTACCATTTTTCTAAGGCCTTTGAACATGTATAAAAAATAGCAAAAAATTGGCCATTTTTTTCGACTTTTTTCAGATTGGCGATTTTCATCAGTAACAAAAGAAGTTATAGGTAATACATCTGGAAAATTCGTGAGTTAGAAAAGATTTTTTTTTATAAATTATAGCTATTTTAAGGTACGTTAGAAATAACTTTCCCTGTATTTTAATTTCGTTAATGACGGCAACCGGGTGCTGTCTCTTTCTTTATTGGCCTCTCACTTTTACTGTCTCTGTCCGAGCAACTTTTGAAATTCAGATATACCGAAAGATTACTGAAAACTTGGAGACCGCTCGAGGCAACCGAAAATTTCCACGTTCAAAGTTTATCATTGGACCAATTTTAAATCGACCTTTTCAAACGTTTTTCTCCGTCTTCAATATTATTAAGTTTTAAATAGATCGTTTGAATATAATAGGTAATCAAACTAACTAGGCCAGATAAAAAGTTCCATTAGAAATGTTAACTTGATCTTATCTTGCCAATGAGTTAGGGCAATTGGGATAATATGGGTTAAATTTACCATCTATCTATTTAGTATTAATGAATGGATTAAAGAACCATTTCATTCTTTAAAATGAAATGGGTGCCGAAGTCATTTAAAGAACATGTCAAAGATCTTATTCTGACTGAAACACGTAAAATTAATCGGTATGAAAAATAAAAATTGGACACTTTAAGCAATAATGGTGAATACGCAAAAAGAAAGACAAAAAAACAATCTTATTACTTATTACATGTTTTTAGTGGACTCCTCTGTTGCAAGTTGCAAGTAGCGATAACATGGTGTCTACTGGCAGTACTGCTGGTTAGAAACACTGCAATATTTAAGTAATAAAGACATACTCAGATTTGCCCGATTCTTGTTCATAATAATTTATTATGTAATAACCTAACTTACTAAAAAAATACATATATTTCAAAAAGTAATTTTATTTTAAAAAAAGTATTTAGAAAATACGTATTTTATATCTAATATTTCAAATAACTTTTTCAAAAGTATTTTGTAACTGATATCTCAAATACTTTGCTTATAAGTATTTTGTAACTTGTATTTCTCTCAGATACTTTTTATGGGGTATCTTGTACATCTCTGCTTGCATCGCCCTGTATACGGAGCGCTCGCTGTTCTGAATATCGAAATATGAATAGAAATCAAATATAAATAAACAGAAGAGGCAAAAGCAATATCGGTCCGCATCACCATCAATGAAATAAACAAAAGCGAACAAATTATATAAACGTGTCAGGGAAGACGGAGGGACGCCTTTCTTGTTCTTGGAGAACTTAAAAGATGTGGCCTGGCAGCAGCTGTTGTTCTAATAAGTTCAAACTTTGACTTTTCTAAATCAGCTACACATATATGAGACCTATAGAAGACTCGAATTTCATATTGGGAAATGTCGCAAGATTAAGGACCCACAAGAAAATTTAGAGCTCCAATATCTCTGTATATTTTTTTTGGAGGAGGCCTTGTTCAAAGTCAATACTTATTTATTAGTTTCCGTTCTAAAATAAAAAAATATATATTTTTATTACACTTTTTTTGGACTCAAAAATATTCTAAATATAATAAAACACGGCGAACACTTAAAATTCTTCAAATATCAGCTTTCAAAATATGGATAAATCAAACTTCTTTATTTCTTTAATTGAATTGGTCCGAGGATTCAAAATAAATCTTAATTAAACTGGTTAATTTAAAATGATGAATGCACTAACCAACCTACAGAGCCGCCATTGGCGTGCGGAAGAAATATGGTTTTCAATTAAATAGAGAAAATGTGGTTTGATTGATGGTATTTTTAAATAGGGGAGATGAAATATGGATAGTCTTGTGTGTTAGCTATCTGTAAGCAATTTTATTTATTTAATGATACAGTTTACAGGGAAATATATGAGATAATGAATAGCAGAAGAATATATATATTTGGGACAACTAATACACAGCTCGGGATCTCTACTACCAGAAATCAACAGAAGAATTAAGTTAGCATAGAGGACGTATGGAAAAAACTCAATCATATTCAAAAATCTAGAATGCCAGTTTATCTAAAAAAGATGTTCGACCAATATGTACTAGTCATAACCTATGCATGCGAAACTTGGACCTTAAAACGGACATTATAAAGAAACTGAACAACGCTCAATGGGACGAAATATGCTGGGAATAACCAAGAAAGACCGTAAAAGAATAGAGTGGATACGACGAAAGACACAGCTAATAGATGTCCCATCCAAAGAATAAAATCCCTCAATTGGCAATGGGCAAGACACCTGGAAAGAAGGGCGGACAACAGATGGACCAAAAAAATTACAGCATGGTATCCACGAGGAACTAAGAAACCTAGAAGTAGACTAAAACTAATGGGACCATGGTATTATGAAATTAGCAGAGATAACTTGGGCCCGCATAGCCAACAATAGACAACAACGGACCCAACTACAAAAAGAGAAATGAGTATCTAAATATGTGAGGGAGGCTAGGCTAGGCTAGACTAGACCATAATTGGAAATGGTTGAATGAGCCAAAAATGATGTTGATGACGATGATCACATTGTATTATTTTCCAGTCCGATCGGTTTCCCAAATGATGTGTCTATATAATTTATAAATATAACTTGAATTTCTCTTTCATTAAAAATAATCAGATATATTTTTATTTATTTTTATTAATATACTATATCAGAAATTATTGTGCCGCAACTGTGAACCTAACGTTATATACTATAACATTTCTATTTCTGTAAAGACATCTGTTACAACCTAAGCGAACTACTAAATCATTTCAATATCATTGAAGCATGGAAGAAAATCTATTCGATAATAGAGTGTCCAGTGTCCAGATTTATTATTGATCCCTAGATAATATAATAAGAATTCCATAGATGTCGTTCTTCGTGTCTGTTATTTGAAACATCTTCAAAATACCGCAACAAAATCTTTAAAGCCAAGTTTTTTTTTAAAATGGGAATATCCGAATGAACTACTAATTATATTAAAAATGTAGACATAAGTATTTATATCCTATATTATCACCAGCCAGCTGTCTATGTTTTAATTTAATTATGTAAATGATGTAGTAATTGTCTTATATTTTCTATAATAAAAAAAATAAGTGTGTCTCCACTTTATCTAATTAATATTTGAGTTCCTGAAGTGGATTTTTATACAAATATTTCATTACAATATTACACGTGGATCGCCTGACATTTAGGTAAATACTATTTCAGGCACAAGTGCAATATTTTGCTAGGTTTTTCTAAGTTTAATGTCAATAAATAACAACAAATAAATAAGCAAATCGTGTTTTCGTAAAATTAATTGACACATCTTGATAGTTGACCGGGAACAACCGATAATAAGTTATTACAAAAATTATTAAAAATGGATTAATATATAGATTATGTTATTTACAAATAAATATAGACATAATTTCATAGAATTTTGTGATTGGTAATCGGTGCAACAGAAAAAAATTACGAAAAGTAACCAGAGGGTAAATGTCACTAAAATTTATTATAATCCTCAACCTTTTTGAAAATTTTGAATAATAAATATTCCGTTGTTTTTATTAATTGGTACGTCATAATTAATATTGCACTCAGAAATTCGTACGTAAATAAACAAAATAAAAACCTAGGTACATTAAGAAACAATAAACAAGAGTATTGAAATTGCTGTGGAAAAAAAACCAAAGACCCCCGACCGCCTGGAGGAAAATAAGATGGTATGAAAGCTGGTCTTCATCATCTCAACTGTTCCTAGGGTACCCTTGAAGAAAACACAGGAAAATAATCGAAAATAATTAAATGTCAACATTTTTTAAGGGCTAGTATTAAGAAACTATTACCCCAAAATTGATAATTGCAGATTTTTTTTATTAACTGATAAAACAGGTAACGAAAATGTATGAATTTTATCTAATTTTTTTAAGAGTGTATATATACTAGTGATATACTAGATCGTTCGTTAGAACAATCAGACACTATGGCTCGTTTATTTATTATAGTATTATTATTTCCTATAGTTTTTTCTAAGCCTCGTTCGGCTTACGATAGTGGTAAGTCAACTTAGATATTCTGAGATATACGCAAACTGTTTTCCTAAAATTGATATTTTTTCTTTCTTGATTTATTTTATCATTATCTCATTTAAATTAACTGTTGTAACTGTAACATTTGTATTATATTTTATATCCTTCTTATATTATCTAATTAGTGTTTTCGAAATTGTTTTTAAGCAAAAATTAAACTTCTTTTATTTTAAGTAAATACAAAATAAGTTTGTAAAAGATTAAAAGGATAATGTTTCAAAAACAGGAAGTAGATTTTTTTTAATAACGAATAACTACTTTGTTACTTTAACTATATTGTAATTTACTGTTGTTGGAAGCAACTTAAGTTTTAGTATCTCAAAAATTTTCAATTATTTTAGTACATTTTATGCGATAACAGAAAGTCAACATGCACTTAAATTCACGAGTGCGCAAATTGATATAGTTGTTACAAATATAACTTTTAACTTGTTTTAGAGTTATCGTACGAAGATTACCAAGAGATATTGCAACTGAAAGCTCTTACAAAACAATATGAAGCAGCTGGTGTGGCATTTGAACCCCTAGACGCACTAAAATTCGATGATAGTGACATTTCTTTTTACGTTTATACTAAAAACGACGTGAACGGCACACAAGTGCTTTACAATGAAGGCAATCAGATAGCGAACATCAGTTCTTTCAATACCAGCTTAAGGACAGTCTTTGTTGCCCATGGATGGAAAAATAATTACATTTCAACTGTTGGCACTGTCCTTAAAGAGGCCCTATTCGAAACAGAAGACCTGAATGTAATTCTGCTAGACTGGGATGCGTACGCTAATAACGTATATATAACCTCTTACAACGCTGTGCCAAAGGTTGGCAGAGTTACAGGACTGTTTATTAAAAATATCACTAGTTCTTACAATTATTCCACCGATAATATTACAATTATGGGTCACAGTTTAGGAGCCCATATAGCGGGCTTTGCCGGGCAGGAAACCAATGGCTCCTTGGCATTTATCCTAGGTATGGATCCTGCTGGAGTGCTTTATTTCGAAAATTTTCCAGACGCTCGTCTAAGTGAAGGCGATGCGCAATACGTAGAAGCGGTTCATACCGACGCATCTCTATTGGGTGTTTATTACAGTGTAGGCAACTCAGATTTTTGGCCCAATGGAGGCAAATCCCAGCCTGGGTGCGAATTGGATGTATTTGGATCTTGTGCCCACGGCAGGTCCTATTTGTACATTGGCGAGTCTATAACAAACAATAACTTTTACTCTAGGGAGTGTGATAGCTATAGTGATTATATTGCTGGCGAATGTACTAATAATATAGTAGCTATGATGGGTGGGCCAACACATAACACATCGTAAGTTATACTTAAAAATCATAGAGTTCAATACCTAATATTTATGCTTTACTTTCAGAATTACTGGAAACTATTATTTGAGAACAAATTCTTCCTCGCCATACTCCTTGGGTGATATTAGCTCTTAGGTGTAAAATTGTACAATTAATCGAATTTAAACAATATTTTTAGCCTATTTTTTAAATATTCTCATAAGTAAAAAAGATATTTTTGTTTAATTTATTTACACTCTTGAAATACGTAATTTTTAATATATATATTTTTTTTGTTAGTCTAACACAACTAATTCTCTAAAAGAAAGATCTTATTTAAATAAAACAACAAACCTACTTAAAAACATTCTTTATTTTAAGTTAATATATCTACATAAAAAGGCTTAAGAGTTCAATTAATATATTTTAATTAAACGTGACTTAGATATGTGACTTAATAATTTTTTACAAATGCCTATATAAAGTTCATTAAAAATGTGATCTCCAAATTTAAAAAGTTAAAAATTTATTTATTAACGTTCATTTTCAGAAATACAAATAAATATGTTTATCAAAATTAACACACATTCATCCTCTAAACTTTGTTCAGTGGGTTCTCAGGAGATTTTTGCCATTCTTTAAAAATCATTTGCTTCAGCTGTGATAATCTGAGTGTTGGATTTTCTAATTTAAGTTCCTTTAATCTCTTTTCCTCATATGCCGTATAAGCAGCCTTTAATCTCTTTTCTGGATGTTTATCCTGATCATCAGCAGTAGCCCTATAAAAATGTAATTTAATTTCTCATTTAATCAATAGTTTCATTACTCAAAACTTACCCTAAAACTTGTAAAGCTTCATCAACAGTTCTTGCTTCATAACCGTCAATTTGCAGCCTATTAATATTTTCTACTAATGGAGTATCTAAATGTGTCTCAACTTTCTTTTCGGCTTCTTTCTTTTTAGCAGGTTCTTCCTTGCGATGCTGTATTTGGGCTCTAGTAACTTTAGCTGGGGGAGGTGCTTTTGCATTTCCCTTAAGAGAATCCATTTCCTTTTCTAATAATGCTTTGGCCTCAGCTTTGCGTTGAAGTTGTTCTTGCTTTTTACGTTCTTCAGCATCCTAAATATAAAATTCGTTATATTCTGGTATGATAATAAAATTTACTAGTAAAAAAATAACCTAAATATGAAAACTAAAGTTTCATGACAAAATATTGAAGTTTACTAAGTAAATAAATTTTAAATATTTATTTAAATTATTCTAAAATATAGCCCTGCTTTTAGTGAACAAATAAAACTGTAATTATGCTGATAAATCGAAGAAATTACCTTCTTTTGTTGCTTTTTAGCTATTTGTTTATCATCATCTCGCCATTTAGCATCTTCAATTTCCTTCTCTTTTTTCAGGACAGCTTCTTCTTTCGCAGCTTTTTTTCTTTCTCTCGCTGCAACGGCTTTAGTATTTTCTGTAGCAAACTTTTTAGGCATTTCTTGCCGTTTTACAGTTATTTTATTGGAAAACTAATGAAATTTTTTAAGAAAATATATTTTTTGAGTGTTCTAAATTCTGACAGTGACGTTTACCACAGATAAAATGCAATATACAATTTCCAAAGATACACAATTTATATTTGTATTACTGGCTGCCTATAAAACAATTATTCTTTAATTTTATATCCATGAATATAAAAAAATATAGATAGAGTTTTAAGATATAATAAAACAACGTATTTTTAGAGGTGTTTATTGTCGTTTTATTTTGTATTTTCTTTTTGAACGCTTACATAGCTTGTTGGAGATTATTGCAAATATACAGAAATATCTTTGTTAAATTTTTACATATATTTATGTATGTCAAGTTAGGTACTCTGGTAACAATGAGCATTTTAAAAGTAATATAACATTCTTTATAATAACTGCACACACAAATGTTAATGTGACAGTAACAGATATTCTGTATCAAAACTAAACGGCTTAAGATAGGTACTATCTACTGCCTTAACAAATGTAATTACATTTATTAATTATTTGTATGTAATTACATCAACATTTAAAATATCGTCCGCATTTATTAAAAAATATGTGTTTTGTCAATAAATTAATCATTTGCTAAGAACTAAACACTATCTGTTCATGCTATCCCCGGAAGATTTGCGTCTTGGTCTTGAGAAGCTTTCTTTGTAGCTTCTTCGTCCCAAAGCTGTAGTAATTCAATAACAGCCGTATGTCCAAACTGTGTAGCTTCCTCCAAAGGTGTTTTGCCCCATCTATCTCTAACGTCGTACGGCACATTGCAATGCTTTAATAGGAAATCTACACAATTTATATGTCCTTCAGCTGCAGCCAGATGTAGAGCAGTTCTGCCATCGTAATCAGGCAAACTAATATCCATACCGTTTAACATATGCCTTATAAGACATAGTATTATTTTAATGTAATTATTAACACTAACACAGATTTTTCTCACCTTCTTAAGCCAGGCAAATCTCCTGATGCAGCTGAGAATAACAAATTGACTATATTTAAACCCCTGCTTTCAAATTTGTGTTTTCTAGGATCTACTTTATTGGGAGCGTGTTTTAAATTATCGTACCGGTGAAAATTAAATTTCTTTATTAGTTCCTAAAACAATACCGTATAAATATCAAATGTATCTGCAACGTTTTGATAGTACTTCGCAAAATTGAACTCCTCTACAGCTATTGCCCAAAGAATCTAGTGGTGGTGACCATAAGCATATACCCATTACATTAGGAATAACTACAAGCAGGGCTCCACTAACACCAGACTTTGTGGGAACTCCCACCTAAAGAAATTTAAGTATGATTTATAAAAAAATATTTCTTTAAATATATATTAATTACTTTAAAAGCAAATTGTCCAGAATAGTCGTACATTCCACAACTATGCATTAGAGATAACACATCTCTGACACTTTCTGGTTTTAACACCTTTTCTTCTGTAAGTGGACAGATTCCACCATTTGCTAGAGTAGAACCGATAACTGAGAGTTGATCGCAGGTAACTTCAATGGAACAGCACTAAAAATTAGAAATTAGCGAAATTCAAGTTGCAAAAATGCTTTTTATAACTACTACTGATGGGTAAATGAATTTCTACTATAGTATGACCTTTTTTGAAACTTTAGTTTCGGAGATATAAATTTAATCCGACCTTTTAAAAAAAATATTTTTTTTCAGAAACTATTTGAGACAGAGTTTACCAAAAATGCTTTTTATAACTACTACTGGGTAAATGAATTTCTAGTATAGTATGACCTCTTTTGAGACTTTAGTTTCGGAGATATAAATTTAATCGGACCTTTTAAAAAAATTATTTTTTTTTCAGAAACTATTTGAGACAGGGTTTACCAAAAATGCTTTTTATAACTACTACTGGGTAAATGAATTTATAATATAGTATGACTTTTTTTGAAACTTTAGTTTCGGAGATATAAATTTAATCGGACCTTTTAAAAAAATATTTTTTTTTCAGAAACTATTTGAGACAGAGTTTACCAAAAATGCTTTTTATAACTACTACTGGGTAAATGAATTTCTACTATAGTATGACCTTTTTTGAAACTTTAGTTTCGGAGATATAAATTTAATCCGACCTTTTAAAAAAAATATTTTTTTTTCAGAAACTATTTGAGACAGGGTTTACCAAAAATGCTTTTTATAACTACTACTGGGTAAATGAATTTCTACTATAGTATGACTTTTTTTGAAACTTTAGTTTCGGAGATATAAATTTAATCGGACCTTTAAATGCAAAATTAATTTTTGCATTAATTATTGTTATTTAGATGTTTAATTATGTTGCCTTGTTTACCGTCAAGTTACCTGAAAATAGAAGTCCATACATTCTTTAAATCTGCTATTTACAGGAAAACATTTGTGCTCTCTCATGTAAAATCCTAAAGCATAATTTCTATCAGCACACTCTCTTTCGGAAAGAAACACAGCATTATTGAAGCCAAGGTCCTCATTTCCTGCTAATCTCTAAAATACCTACTAATTAGTATTGTTTTAGAAAAAAAATCTGATAATGAATGAAATGATGACTGAACTTGAACCTTACTTCAAAGAAATTCATGATGAAATCGAACTTTTCAGCCAAACTCATTTCAGGTCCCACTATTGTTTTTAAAAGTGCACATATTAGAATTGCACCAGCATTTATCATAGGATTGTGAGGTTTTTCTACAAAAAAAAATAATTTTAACAGTAATGTAATTCACAAAAATTAAAGGATTTCTTACTGTTATGATCTAAAATAAGTTCATTAAAATTACGACCACTTGGTTCTTGTCCAACATACTGATGTACCACATCAGAGCCCAATAAGTCGAGGGCTATACCGTAAGTTAAAGGTTTACTACAAGATTGAATAGTAAAAGGTATAGCAACATCTCCTACAGAGAACCTTTGGCCATCTATCGTACAAATACTTACGCCCCAATAGTTTGGACTCATTCTTTTTAATTGAGGTATATAGGACGCTACCTAAAATACAAGCATCTATTTCATTTCGTTTTTTGGGACTGGAAAATTAATTATTTACTTTTCCATCCGTGTTGTCTTTGCATTTCCAATAGATTTCTTCTATATCTTTACAAAATTCTTGAAATTCTGGTATAATAAACTGACGTCGAAATGCTCGAGATATTAATCCTAGATTTGGAGCTATTATGCTACAAAAAAATCAGGACGGGATGAAATAATGAAATCTAAAAGATTGGATACATTTTTTTTTCAATGATTTTTTTTATATAAACTATTTTAAAATATGTACTTAATTCTCAAAATAAACTGTCACAAGATCTGGAAAACCATTTAGATATAGAAATATCTTCTTGAAGTATATTTTGACTGAAGATAAAAATTTAATATTAAATTTCCTGTATAAGTTAAGCGTCACGAGAAAAATAATTTATCTAAGTCAAACATCAAGTAGAATTTCAGTGTTTTAAAATAAGATAGGGAACTAAATTATGAAATATGGTGGTATATATTTTACAAATTTACACTGTAGTTTACTGTGCTAATCACATAAACAAGGCATAAACTAAATTCTTATTAGAAATTCCTGCAATACTATGCAACTAAGCATACGTTTCCTGCTGCAATTTTTAAAAAATCTGCTTTGAACTTTTGTCCTTAAAAATAGATAAGATGCGAATGAGAACTAACATATTAATACAGATATTAAGACAGTGTATGAATGTATCTTACCTTTTAAAATTGATCAAATTCAATTTTTGGGTATCTATTGAATATCCATCACTGTTACTTTTGACTAGCGTTTTTAACATTTCAATCATTTCTTTTAACCTAGGATCTGTTTTTCTTAACCCTGTAGCCCTTAAAGCCTGTTATTTTTTTTAGTTTTAATAATTTGCTAGGTAATAAAAGAATACTCACATTAAGAAATTTTCCTATGGGGAGTAGTCCAGTTTCTTTATTCTTAAACATTTCAAACAAGACTTCGTCTGTGTTAATATTATCGCCCCTAAATGGGCAAAGTTTTAGTATCTTATGTCATAAAGCAAAATAAAAACTTACAAAGATAAATAATTTGTGTCATGGATAAGTGAATAGCGCCGTCTGTAATGTGTAAAAAATATAAAAAAAATAACACAGGAAGAACCTAGTACTAATTCTGAGCTTAAAAAAATAAGGAAATAGAATTTTTGTTACCTTTGCCTGTAGTTTTCATGCTGGATGTAATTCTGAAATAATAAAAAATGCGGTAAAATTACCAAATTGAGATTTTCGCTGGTTTAAGTACTTACGTTCGAGGAACTGCTAGTGTTATTTGCTGAGGAACTAAAATTACGAATTAGTTTAATTGATGAGGCGTAAGTCAGGTGCTTTTTCTTCACTGTAATTATTTTTAAAAAGTGTCTCAGGCTCGAAATATCCATTTTAACCGGTGATCGATTTTATTTCGGTAAGGTTTATATGTTAATACGCCGACGCAATCGCCGAAATCTCGCTTGGTCAAAATTTTCGACGCTCTGATAACAACTCAAAACACAATTTACGGAACTCATCCGTATTTCGCTTGGAGATTTCGCGGTACCTAATGATTACTTAGCGTTTAATTGTTAATTAGTATCATTTCTTTATGATTTTCTTTGACGTAGGGTAAGAAATCCGACAGTTTACTATGAAATTGATGTTTTTTCGCAGTTGATTAACAGATTTTACATTTTCTATTGTTCTTTTTGTATTTGAATACTTATACTACTACTAGTATAATGCCACAAGAAACAATTTTTTATACTACGTTATTCTTTATTACATCAGAATAATAGCAGCCATTTAAGCTAAATTAGTTAAAGAAATTAGTCCTAGAAACATTAGCGAAAGAACATTATACAAAGAAGCCAAAGCAAAAATAATCATATATAAAACAACCCCAGAACCGGCACATGAGTAAGGAGATGAGATATCCCCAAAGCTGTTTACAGCAACACTATATCAATCATATTCAAATCTAGAATACCACTTTATCTAAAGAAGAAAACATTCGACCAGTGTGTACTATCAGTCATGAACTATGCATGCGAAATCTGGACACTTAAAACGGACATTATACGGAAACTGCAGAGAACTGCGCTCAATGGAACGAAATATATTGGGAATAACCAAGAAAGATCGTAAAAGAATAGAGTGGATAGGACAAAAGACGACCGACGATGAATTAAGAGACCTAGAAGAAGACCAAACCTGAGATGGGACTATGATATTAGGAAATTAACAGGGATAACATGGGCCCGCATAGCCAACAATAGATAACAATGGGCTGACCTACAAACAGAGTATCTAAATATATGAGGGAGACTACACCATAATTGGAATTGATGAGGATAATGATTAAGAGAGCCAACAAGCAAGGAACTAGAACAATGCAAATTAATAAAATAAAAGTATTTTTGAGACACAAGGTAATAAAGAATACAGTAGTTTCAAGCATTTCTGTCTGGACTGTACCACTTAATCTCTGAATAGTGTATATGTATGTATATGCATGTGTGTGCATATAAGAAGAAGTACTTTCTCAATATAATCTTCATCTACATCTATTAAGCAAAAATTCTAACGCCGTGTAACTATTTACATATGAAAGGCACTGGGTATATCATTATTTTAGAAATAGAATATTTTAAGTAAGCAGTTAAAGGTTGTAGACTATAATATAGTAAAGTATATGGGGGGTATAACAAATATTTAACTTTCACATTATCGACTCTCCGTAGCCCGGAGTCACACGTAAATACTGAATTCTTGAAATTGGTTCTAAATACCTTAACACTTCTGTAGTGTTATATCGCCTCATAGTCATAGTGACGACAGTTTTTTTTAAATATATATCAGACCATGTTTTATTTGAAATAAAAAAATATTTTTTGTGCTGGAAAATATCTGCATTAGATGCATTAGTGTTTTGATGCATGTTTTCGATATATATTCTATTGACCGATAATAATAATAGAGTCACAGCAAATAAGGAAAATATATTTAAAAAACTCATTAACGCTTGGGGTGTAACAGAAAAGATTATTAGTCCTGCATTATCAAAAAAATTGAATTTGTTTTTCAAAAGGTTAAGGTGTTAGAATAACGAGACCATATGTTTGGCTCAAATGCGATTTATTGCTTGTAATTTTCAGTAAAGTACTTATTCGACTTAACCTCATGTGTGATATCGGCTAAGAAGCAGCTTTCACCAAAGAGCTGATTCTCCTTCATTGGTATCTAATCTCCTCTTTAACTCGATAAAATAAAATTCTAAAATTCTACTTAACTGACTGTAAACTAATTCTATTAGTTGGAATGCATAAAACCGCAGTACGAAGATCTTTTTTACTGTGATTACACGAAGAATTTCTCAGACATTGGCTATACAAACAAGAATTATTTTCAAATGCCTTAAACCTTAACAACCAAACTGATGGAATCACTCTTTATTTCTGACTAAACTGTTTGCAAGGGAAAAAACGGGGTATACAACTTTAAGATAAGGTTTTTTGTTGTAAATAGACATGATAATAAAGAATAATAATAATAATTGCTGTCATTTATTTTCTTGTGAATTTTGTGTTCAGTAGTAAAATCATAGTTTTGGACTGGCCTGCATGTTCACCAGATCTAAACCCTATCGAACACTTGTCGGGCCAGCTCAAAAGAAGTTTTAGAGCTCGTCGAAAAAATCCAGGAAATCTCGCACAACTTATTGATGCGGCATTAGCAGAATGGGAAAACATACCCCAAGACAACGTTGATAATTTATGTTAATAAGAAGCATGCCAGCGCTGATAGAAGCTTTCATAAGGGCTAGAGGAGGCAACACGGATTATTAAAATTATCTTTTTGTTTTTGCTTTTTGACCAGTAAAAATTTAAATTCCATTTTGTTTCAGAAACCAAAAAAATGCCATTGTGGTTTTGGGAACTGATTATTTTTTTTATTGCTATATAGATTATTTTTCATTAAAAGTCTTTGGTAGGGACTGAGTTCTATTCATAAACACAAAATGTCTTAAAAATTATAAAAAACTTAGTGGGAATTTTGGATTATATCATTATTGTTATTAGATTCCAAGTGTTTCTGTTTTGTGATTTAAAGAAACGTGAGATAAAAATGACATTTAGTGTGTATATACGTATAACATTCCAACATCTACAGTCTTTCACTTCCAATGAATGCATCAAAAACCTAATTCCGACAAGTTTTTTGCTGGCCTGCGGCCCCAAAGCAAGATACATTTTGACCCACATTCTGCATTTCTCGTCGAGCAGCGTGTTTAAAATCAACTTCGCGCGACCCTTTGCCGAGTGATTAAGAAGCCCTGATAATCTGCGAATGCCGAATACAGCAGGAATCGCAAAAAAAATCAGACAACAGGAGGGTATCATGTCTACACCAAAAAGCAAAGAGGTAATGGCAGTCGAGGACATACGAAACTATACGAGGTCATATTATTTTCAAAACGCAGTCCCCCAAAGAGATGAAAACGGTTTGTTGGTCACAATCTCTCTGCGGAGAGCCTCTCAGTTTATGTTGGAATATTTCTGTGATAAATGTCTTCGTTGTTGTGCTCCTAGTTATTCTATGTGCGGATATCATTATTGTTAGTTTTTTTCTCTTTAGTAAATGCTAAATGTTAAAAGTGTACGGTGTACACGTGAAAACACGCGTTATTTCATTATTAAACGTTAAACCGTTATCGTTTGTATAGTCGTGGACTGAAGAATGCCAGTTTTAAAGTATGTTTTGTTTATTATTTTCTTAAATATGTTCGCTCAGTGTTAATGAAGTAAGTAAATTTTATTTAATTTTATTCAATAACACTTGCACAAACTCTGTCATCTTTTTATAATCATAAATACTTCATTTTGTATTATATACCACAAAAATTTATTTATTAATTTTTTTTTGTATAGTATATTTTTAAAACTCATCGAATCATCATTAGATACACAAATAAATTTAACAAAACTACATTACCAACATTTTTAATTAAAATTTAATTAAAATAAATAATACGTTCTTTCATGTCTATTTAAACCATAAAAATAACTATCAGTTTAGCTGTAAAATTAGAGTTATAGTAGTTACGTTCCTTTTATATTTTTGCTATTGTTGTTAACTACACAATAATAATAACAATAAAATGTAAAGTGGAGTTGAATACCCTTTAGACTATTTGTATTAGTCGGTTAATTGCAAACAACCATATGTTGCTGAAATAGACATACATTTTCGAAAAATCCTAACATTTAAATTGGTATTTTTTTATTTTCGTCAGGTATTTTTTACACTACAAACCAAATTTTTTAATATCATCAAATTTTATTATTTTTGACCTAATAAATTCGATGTTTTTATGGGTGGCAGAGTTTCACGAATAAAAGCAAATAAATAAAACAATGATTAATTTAAAAGCTAATTACAAGAACTGTTAAAAAAATTAAAATATGGAAAGTAAAAAATTAATTATATTCGCAAGTACATTAGTCTCATCTTACTTTTATTTCGCGGTAATTGGGATTAAACTAATTGAACGTTAAAAAATGTAATTAAGTATAAATTATGTGAATTAAGTAACGCAGATCGTTTAATATAAACAGAAGAGTAAAATAATTACTGTTTTTGACGTTGAAAAGTAAACTCAGCTTTCAGCTCCTGAAGGCATATATGCCTATCTTAAAAGAATGTCCAGTGAAATCTTGAAAGAATTTGTATTTTTTTGGCGCCACTCTTTGTTTTCTTTTCAGTGTTGTAAAGTTAATTATAAAGTATAATTAAGCTTTTATTCGATCTATACAAGAAAATGTATTGAGATAAAGAAGATGTACTTTTCTGTATGCTTATTTGTTGCTACAGTGAGTTAGAGACAAATTTTCTACTGATATTTTTTAATTAGAATTTTTTAAAATTTATTTTGTGTGTATTATTTTTTTTTATTTCATTAATTTCAGTCACCAAAGACACTATGTGTCTTTTAGATTTTACGTTAAGTCAAAAACCAGTATTTTAAGCTTGTAAATGAACTCTTACCGTTTATAACAGTATTATGTAAAACTATTTGAGAATAACTAAGAAAAACAGGTTTTTTTAACATGTCAGAGACTTCTTCAGTATGTAGGCGTCACTTGTCAGGCTAAGCTAGACAAAAACCAAATAAAAGTATGAAAACAACGTGTGGGAAATGCCAATAGATTTTTTTTTCATATTTGAACAAGAATATAATTATCGTTCATAATTAATTTTAGTCGCACCCTCAAAGAATGCATTTTCTTCCAATTAAAATTGTTGTCTTTTTCTGCATAGTTCTTTTAACTCAAGACTTAACATAAATTAATATATTAATGCATTGTTATTTGTTATATGTTATATCTTTTATAGTTTTTTTTTATTTTTCTTTTGCCTATCAGGATTTAAAAAAAAATCTCTAATAATTATCATGAACAATTTAGGGATTTTATTAATATCATAACACCCCTAGTTATATTCCAGATTTATATTCTTCAGAATAATCTGCATAATTTAATTGATACTTAAGTTTAATGGGTTGGTTTTATATTAAACGATTTAATTTCTAAAGTTGCTCTTTAAAGTCTGCTGTACCTTCATTTTTATGCAGGTCAAAGAATAAATACATAGTACTATAGTACAACTTGTTAAAATATGCTTTTGTCGAGTTATTCGATTAAGGTGTGTTTTTATTGGTCATTTTTAAACGGTAAATTTCATGATTCATCAAAATTAAATGAACAATTATTATTTTTAAATCAGGGTTTGAACAAATGTCAAAATTTGAAACCCACAAACAACTCGAGAAATATTTGATAAATGAGAAAATGCATTTAACAACAAACAATATGTAAAGTATTTTATCAAAATTAACCCCCCAAAAGGTTATCTAGCAATATACAATAGTGGTATCAATATTGCTATATTGAAGAAAAGTGGTACGCCATTATTATTAGACTGTGCCACAAAGAATAGGAAAACTCAGTATAATTGATGCATATTACCTCATAAAAACGTTTCAAAAATCTATCGCAATAATTGTTTCCTTTTTGCTAAATACTACCCATTACAAAAAGTGTTTGCAATGCACAGTTCATATTTTTATAAATTTTTTCTGTTATTTTACCAAAAAAATATTTTATAAATAAATTCTGGTTTATACAGAAAAAATCAAACCCTAGAATATTTAGGAAAGATTCCAATAGACAGAGTTTTAAAAATATAGAAATGGCTGTTAATATTTATATTTGTTGTAAAACGGCATTCTTGAACAAGTGTGTAAAATTCAAAAAGAAAATGTAGAATAGCCTAGAATGAGGGATCGAAGCGGTTTTGTATACATAATATCTAATTAATTATTCCATGCAGGTTTCTTTTCCAACATCGAAATTGTTATCCAATCGTGAGAATGGGTTCATTTATATTATAGAGTGTATACAGGGTGTTTCAAAAAAATGCACCATCTCTCGTGGGGACGTTCCTCTCGTAAAAATAAGATTTATTTTTCATATTACCATAGGTCCGATTCTGCTTTGTTTCGTAGCTACAGGGGGTTAAAGTTTGTTTTTTTTTCGATTTATTATATTTTTCTTCCAATTGCTTATAGCGATTCGAATGAAATTTTGAGTATAAAAGTACGACATTTTTTAATGTTTTTTTAATTAAAAAGTGTCGACATACTCAACAGGGTAGTTCATATGTATGGGTTATAACTGGAATATTTTTCTGATTAAAAGTAGTTGATATTTTGTGGATTTCGGCCTTCTTGATGAGATAAATGCAATTTAATTAATTTGCCTTAATCCAATTCTAATAGCCACCTTTAAAAAATTTTAATGTCATTAACTTGCCAAAATATTAAATAAGTACTTATTGATTCCTCATCAAAAAATTTAAAAAAAAGTTCCTATAAACATGGGTGCCGAATGTTATGATGTTAAAACTTTATAAAAATAGGCCTTTTATAATTATCTTAAATACCTTTATTATTTTGGGGAATTTGCTGTAGGTAGCACTATACATCAGTGTTATAAATTTTAATAAAATTTAGTAATAAATAACATTAAATAAATAATTTATTAATTCTATTTTAATTTTAATTTTATTAATTGTGATTAATAACATTGCGTTTATCTCATCGAGTACTTAACTTTTAATCAGCATTAGATGGCCTACACAACTTTACTATTAAGAGGAAAAAAGTCAGTGGCGCACCTGTTTTTTTTTTAGAAAAATATTCCAGTGATAACCCTAATATGCACGTCCCTGGTGAATCTGTCTACACTTTTTTTAGCATTAAAATATGTAGCACTCATAGGAACTCTTACCCTCCAAATTTCGTTCGAATCGCTAAAAGCACTTGGAAGAAAATTATAATAAATCGAAAGACAAAAAAAAAGATTTTAACCTCCTGCAGCTACGAAACAAAGCAGAATCGGATCCATGTGGATATGAAAAAAAAATCTCATTTTTACGTGAGGAATCTCCCCCACGAGAGATGGCACATATTTCTTGAAACACCCTGTATAAATATCTCTTTAACATCACCATTTCTTCGAAATGTTATGGATTGTTTGCTACTTTACCATAACTAATCTCTATTAATAGCCCCCAACTTTTACATTGTATCACTGAAATATATTTTAACTGAAAGCAAAATTTTTCGAAATAAATTTTAATAATTAATCTCACTAGCCATCTGTTCTGATAAACAATATAAAGATCTCTTTTTGCAGATAGGATTAAATCAGAAAAGGAACTGAATATGTTAAAATGTCCCAGAAAGAAAACGACGCGTTTGTAACTGTTGTTTCTGTCAGTTCAAACATGGTACCCGAGCCAACTACATCCATAAAAGAGCCCAACAAATCTGACTACGTCACAGTCTTAACTATAAACGATGAAGATATCAAATCCATCACTGACGTAACAGAAGAAGTCGTAGTTTACAGACTACCAGGCGAAAGACTAGGTTTTGGCTTGAAATTTGAAGGCGGAACTAAAGCTCAGGAATGTGTTAAAAGACTCTTCATTCAATCTTGTGCTTCAGACAGTCCTGCTTCTAGAGTGGAGAGTTCTTGGGGGAAGCTAGAAGAAGGAGATGAAATCATACAGATCGATTCAGTTCCTGTCAACCACATGACCAGAATTGATTGCGTGAGGTGCTTGAAAGAATCCAGTATGACCATAAAACTTCTTGTGAAACATTCCTTTACTTCCTTCCCCAAACAAAATTACTCTGTTATAATTAACACTGAGGAAAGGAAACCTCCTCTGGTTCCACCTAGGAAACATCACAGGAAACTACTAAAGAATAACCAGAACAATGAAGCAAGTCATGAGAATATTATTCCAGTATTTAAGCAAGATAAGACTACAAGACTGCAGTCACCTAGGAATAGTTTTAGGAAGAAATACTCTCCGGATTTAGCCAGGAGATTGTCAGATGCCAGTTTTGGGCCTCCGGATGCTGAGGTTTATCTGGATTTAATATCTCAAGAATCTACTCAGAGTCTTAGTGAATCTGATGACACTGGAAGCAGCATATCTACTGTACTAGACAGGTGTGTACATTAGAGATAATTAATTTCACATTAACTATATTACAAATGCTTAGGATGGTAACGTCCCATTTCTGTTATTACTTTAACATCACTCTTTCCTTACATAAGCTTTTTAAATTTCATGCTTTCTGTTTAATGGAATAACAATGCTAGAACTTAATGCATTACTTATTACCTAAAATTACTGCCAAAATATAAGTATGGTTACGTATTCAAAAAGCGTGTAATATTCTTTAACAAGCTGCTGATTCGATTTTCAGATACTGAATGAAAATTATATTATTTTATGTAAATAATAATATTTTTAAGACTTTTAGATTTATTAAAAGTTATATACTTGTTGCAGATTTGCCTCATTTCCAACTACAACAACATCAAGTTTCGCGGGTAGCCTTCCATCAACACCAACTTCAATCCAAAGGCACTTAGATCTGTCCTACATAATAAACGAATTCGATGATGACGATTTGTTCCCTATGATCGACAAAAAATCATCTAAATCTGCGTTAGTTGAAGAAAACAACAATGTCATTAAAAGTTCTTCTGAAGAAAATATTAAATTGTCTCAGGAATTGGAAGTACTTCAAGCCACCGACGATGTAGACTCGGCCAGCAGCAATTTGGAAAGTATTGAAATCGCGAAAATCCCAGTAGTAACTCCTAGAACTAGAAATGTAAACAATAAACCAATAATAAGCAATGACATGGATAACACTTTACCAAGACTGGTCAATTTTGTACCTAAGAAAGAACTAGATGATAAAATAGAGTTTCTGAAGAAGCAGTTTGAAAGATCTGATCACGATGACGATCTGGATTACGAAATTGATGATGATGATTATTCCAGGGACGAAATACTCGAGTACAGCAGGGGAATGGACCTATCGAATTCAAAATGGAGCTTCTCATCACATCTATCTACTATAGGGGAAGATGATGAAGACCAGAAGAGTTACAAGTCTAGTGCAAAATATGGGTAAGAGTTAAAGAAATACTTTTCTAAAATAAGACACAAAAAATTATCTCATTCTTTATGTGTGTTACTTTACAAAATTGATATTCAATACATGTGCATATATGGCTGAATGTAATAATAGCAAACAACTTGATCTTTTCTGTAAATGAATAAAACATCTAACATTTTACATGGAAGGCTTCAAAGAAATTGACTCATCAGTTACATCACTTACAGAGTGATAATGTAAAAATAAAAAGTTTTAAATAAATAAATTTATTTCCAGGTTTCCTATCATATCGACATCACCTTTTGGTTCAGTCACCAATATTTCTGGTGATCAAATAGAAAATGACTCTAACGAGGAATTTGATAATGGTAAGTCGTAGTAAATACTTTTCTGATAAATGTTGTAAAATTGGATGTTTTAAATGATATTTTACTTTAGGGCGAATGCGCTAGGAACGGTTAATTTTATGAACAGAAATCTTTTAAATAATTGGAATTGTAAACTCAACCACAGCGAGAAGGTTTTATAAATAGAACAAAAAATAAAAATATTTTCTAGGTGTGCCGAACTTGCACGTTTACCCTTTTAAAAAATAATTAAATCACATCTAAAAATACACCCATAGTTGCATAACAAAATATTAATTTTCATGCCATAATGGTGTAAAGAAGAGAATTATGCATTTCTAAAAAGATAGATTAAATCAGGGATCCCCGCCTCGATTAATTTCTCTTTCTTATTTGTATTTGCAGGTTACATTTTGAAACAACTAAATGTATTTTTGGACACAAAAAACAAACAAAAAATTGTTGAGGATGTGTGAAGTGATTGACTCACCTTCCGGAATTCATTTTAAAAGTCAAACAGAAAAAGTGAAAATAATATTAGGTATTTAAAATTGGAAATGTTATAGAAGGATATATTCATAGTGCACAAGAGCAATTAAAAACAAAATTCGTTGACTGTATATGGCCAGACTAAATGATTAATGAAAATAAGTTTAAAATAATATTTTTGTAGATTTTAATCTAAGTTATTTTAAATTCCATCATAGCCGTTTGGTGTGGTTATCGGCTTTTAATATAAGGTCACCCACATAGAGACGTGGGTATATTCTAGATTTTTTTCTTTGCCGTGTTTCTTAGTATACATAATGTACATTAAATAAATCAAAAACAATATTTATGTGGCTGGATATAATATACAGGACGATCTACATCTAATACCTATACCACATACAAACCTATATTCATTTAATACCGTAATCGTAAGGATATAGTGGCCTATATTTTCATGTTTTATTCATTTTAATTAGCAGATAACAGAAGATTCGTTAAAATCGGTATTTGGAAAAAAGTCGAAAAATTTATCTATTTTCCTTATTTGTTACAGATTTTCAAGTATCTTAGAAGAATATTAAAAATGATCAAAAAACTTTGAAAATTTCGGTATTTGTAGCGAGTTTTATATACTTTTGGAATATATAAACCTTTAAAGGCTTAAATAACTTTAGGTTTATAACTGATGGTTATAACTTGACCTATATACAGGGTGTCCCAGAAATAAGTGCAAATATTTTAAGAGGTGATAGATCTCGATAAAAAAAACATATTTTCTCTTTATCGTTTTTCAAATAAGTCCAAAATAACGGAGTTATTTTACTTTGAAAATTTCCAAAAAAAATGATTTTTTGCTGAAATTTTGAGAACCACTGGATCTTTTCTAGATTTTCTTTCTTGTAAATTTAATCTAATACCTATGTTGCCATATTATCAAGAAATTATGTTTCTTAACTAAAAACTAAAAAAATTTCCAAAAAACTTTTTAAAAAATTAAAAATTTTCAAATTTTTTTTTTGCCAAAAAAACCATCATAGGTGTGTTTCTGGGGTTGAACTATACTACAAGTTAAAATATCTGCACTTATTTCTGGGACACCCTGTATATATAGTACCCTCTTCTTAAGGATACAATGGCCTATACTTCTGTGTTCTACACCTTTCTGTTAGTAAATAACAGCAGTTTCAACAAAAATCGGTGACATGACGAAAATCGCCAATTTTCATGACTACATGCCATGAAAAAAATCGAAAAATTGCCATTTTGAGCTATTTTTTATACATTTTCAAAGGCCTCAGAAACATAGTAAACATAGTCATAAAATTGTGAAAATTTCGGCATTTGTAGGAAATTTTATGTAGATTAAAAATATAAATATACACCTTTGAAGGCTTAGGTACCTTGGCTTTGTGAAAAAATTATTTTTTATACCCCTTGTTTTACAGCTACCCTTCTTTTTATACCCTCCTATCTTTGATGGAGGTTAAAGCGTCCCCTTCGTCCATTACTGTTTTTCTAAGACTACAATGGTCTATATTTTCTAATTCTACGTCTTTTAATTTGTAAATAAAAGCAGTTTTAACAAAATCGGTGACATGACAAAAATCGCCAATTTTCAGGAAGAAAAAAAATAAAAATTGTCTGTTTTTGGCTAACTTTGTATCCTGTATTTTTCACAAACAGACTTCGAGCAGATGTACAAGCTATTGAGCAGATGGCAGTATGACGAGACTGATCTTAGATACTGCCAGCCAAATGGTGCAAGGTCATGAAAACCCAAATCGACCGAAAGGTGTCCACTTTATATACCTTGCTGCATATTTCTTTCAGCCATTTCGTATTATTTTATAAAATGCAGAAGAGCTTCTCAGAGTGATGGAGCTTCAAAAATAGGTCAGTTATAAAAACCATTAGCAAAAACAGGAGCAAGACTAAGTTTATAAGGAACAAATCCATGCTCATGCACTACTGTCCTTTTACATTATTTACCACGTACCACTTTTTTCTGTTAATAAACCAGTAAGAAACAATTTGCATTTGGAATATTAAACAGCGCCTATGTGCGGCTTTCAGTCAAGTCCGCGCGCTGCCATAAACGGTTCGGATTTTTAGCAAATTTTGTCAATCCTGCTCCTGCTTGCCGTAGCAGCATCGTGATCGACAAGCTGTTCCCTGCCTCCTAAAGTCGAATGCCCTTGACTCTCTGCAGCGTCCACTGACCTGCGATTCTTGCCATTTCTTTCTTTCTTCGCCAGTCGCTTTGCACTTCATCCCAAAACTACCAACGTGAATCAAATTCGACCATACCCGGTGGTACCATTTGATTTTCAACAAATACACAAGTCGATCTAGGATCAGCTCACCCACACACAGCAGAAATACTTTTACCGTGAACGTGTTTCTTGTGTCGTTTGTGCTATATTGCTACCCAGTTTTTTCGCCGCAACCAATGTGTTTAATTTGTGACTCAAGTCTTAAGGTTATTTTTTGGTGAAATACCTCTTTTACGCTGTTTTTCGTCCGCTTGAAGGTAAGATGTTTTTCTGCGATACCTGCTTCAATTTTTAAGAACTCAAATTTCAAAGTATTTATATTAAAAGTGTTTTTTTGTGTAAATTACCTTTATTTAAACTGTATTTCATCTCCTTCAAGGTAACCATTCTTTTTTGTAATATACTGGAATACCATGATCTGAAGACCAACAATTGTTTTTTTATTGTTGCACTTCGTTTTCTTAAAACCAAAGTACTAATAATATATGAGTTTTTTTTAAATAATTCAAATGTTTTAATTTACAACAGAGATAAACAATAATTCTATTTTTTGTCTTTATCAATTTTATATTATTATACATACTTGATAAACAATAAGTTATTATTAGGAAAATGCAATTGAAATAAATAAGTACATAATTTTTAACAAACAGTAGCACGGTTTGTAATAATAGTTATTATATTGTAAAAAATATTACATTAATTTGCAACTATACCGTTACAAAAGCAAAGAAAAAGAAATATAACTTTTTTATTATTATATGTAAAGGGCAATGCAAAAATTTATATTTTATTTTTTTCTTTCATTCTTTATATCATTATTCCTATATCTATCAGATATTTCATCTTAACAATATTTCTTTTTAAATAACATAATAATTAAAAGGGGCCATTACTGTTAACTGTTGGGACACCTTTGTAATATTACTAAATTGCAAATATTAAGGCCCCATTCGTAATTATTTTAGCATATTAGATTGACAAATACGTTGTAAATAACTTGGGCAAGTCATTTTTTATCAATTAACTGCAATTATTTAAACATTTTAATAGATGTAAAATTATTCTTGTATGGTAAATTTATTCCGTTACTAGCAGAAACCACAAGGAAACTGTTGAAATTGTTGGACTTGTGTATTTTTAGTCATGTTTTTATTTGGTTTCCTTTAGGATGACATAGTCATTATTACTCATATTCTTTTTAGACACATAGGTGTAAAAATAACGTTCAAATGTGTTCATTCTTCAGTAGATCCACTCATACAAAATTAATATGATTAAATAATTATTCGTACATTTATTGTTGTTTCCAATTTTTAATTTAAGTAGAAAATATTTTTCCAGCTTGAAATATTCATTATACTTAGAAGAAAAAATTATCTATACATAATTTTTCTAATATTATTTAATTCACGGACATATCAACTCTAATTGAGTTTAAGTTTACTATATATAAAACTACAATAAAAACATTATTCTATTCATAAATCTAATTGTGGAAACTTCCCTGATATTAGTTAGTCATTGAAAAAAATATTTGCTATTTGTAAACATTAAATACCAAATTATTTAGTTTACCTATTATTTTATTAGCTGAGTAAATGATAAGGAAAAGGAAGCAATATTAAACTTCCCATTTATTCTAAGATTTCTATGAATTTTCTGCGACATATGTATGTAAAGTGCAAAAAAAAATATTGGCTAAGTATACATATTCTTTTGCTTACACCTTTCATAACTAACTGTATTTTTATGCCGTTTAAGCTTAAGCGTTACTCTTTTACACAAGAATTTTAAATCTGCAATATATGCCTACAGGGTGGTCGTTCTAAAATTATAAATTGGCCATCAACAGTATCAACATCTAAAATGTATTTGTTTGTGAATCTTAGTGACTCTTAAAAAAGTATAATATTATCTCTTTATAACAGAGTTAAATAGGTTATTTTTTAAACTAAAAAGGTACTAATGTGACCAAATTTGGACCCATAATAGTAGAGTTGGTAACAGTGCGTTGTAATAAGCTAAATACTATTACATTTTTCTATATATAATATTATTAATTTTAAGATTAAGAAGAGAATTATTTTCAGTTTAAGTATAGCTGATTACATACCTTACTATTTTTATATTTGCGGAAAATATTTTATTCGATATTATTTTATAAATTAATAGATAGATAAAAAACAAAATTTTGAGTGGATAACTTAATTATTGGTTCTATGATAGTTTAAAGAAGGTGTTTAGAAATATCTATGAAGTAATAAAGATAGCTAGGAAAAAGTTTTGAGTGGATATTATAACAAATGTAATCTTTTATGCAATATTGACATAACTTAAGAGGATATTAGCGATAAAGCTTGCCATATTTTGCAAAGTGCATTAGTTTGTTTATGACAGTTTGAGAATCCCCTAATTTTTTTAAATAAACTGAAAAATTAGATATCTACCTAATCTGATATAGTCATCATATGCATTCGTGTATTAGATATATGTAAGTTTATTTTTAAAAATATCCTACCGAGTATAAAAAGTATCTAAAAAAATGTGTATACCATATATGCATCATGCTTCCTGCTTTTTTAGACTGCCATATCATTTGCGACTACTTACTGGTTTGATGGAATTTTTCTCCCAAACTTACCTTGTCTTTCTCTAGAAAAAATTATTGATTCACATCAGATAAGATTTCACTCACACGTACTTAGGCATGAACACAATATTCGATTTTAAAGCTAGGAATAAGATAAGGATATTAATGATTCGCCAAATAAGCGATACTGCTATCTAGATACATATTTATTCACAATATATTAGAAACTTTGTTAGTAATGTGTTGTGAATTGATAAAACCTTTATTGCACCAAAATGTCTAAAAGTAAGTAGCGCATACCACTTTACAAAGCATTTTATTTATATATACATATATACATACAACATACAAAATAAAAAAATGCATTCTTTGTCAAAAGTTCTTTTGTTCAGATTCGGATTTTTTTTTCTGTTTTCATATGAAACAGTAAAAATATTATAAATATATGGGTGCGTGAATCGACAATAAATATTGGCATATTTCAAGTAATGGGTAGGTCTATTCTTTAGAATTCACTAATTACTACTCACTTTCAGTTAACATAACTGTTAGTATTAAAACTACTTGTTTGGCAGCTTTGAATATGCAATGTCTGTAACTGTGGTTTAATTAATACAATATTAGGATTAAATATGCAATATTCAACATTTCATTAATACTGGTTTATTATTTTTGCGTCAAGAATATTTGCAATAAACAACATTTTGTGATGGAAAACATCCACAAGTACCTTTAAGTTATTATTATTTGAATCAGAAAATAAAAAAATATAAACAATAATTTTCGGCTGATCTATATTTCTATATCTATTTGATAAAAATTACAATCATTTCCTGATGAGACATAGTTCAATTATTTATACCTCTAATAAAAGTATTCAATATATTTTCGGCTTGATCTAAGAAAAGATTTTTGATTTTTACACATTATTGAATTATTTTTTTTAACTTCAGATAACTCAAGTCATATGGAAGCTCCTCCAAGTGGTTTTCGGCAACCTCCCGACGGACACGAGTTTCCTGATTTTATAGAACATTCAAAATCACCGTCGTATGTCGAAGACGCGTCCTATAAGTTAGATCCCGTAGAATGTTCCCCAGGCTATCCAAGCCTGGGCGTTGACAAATTCTTGAGCAACTCAAACGTAGACTTGAGCGAGAAAATCCGGGATCATGACGAAGAAACCGCTTATTACAGACCCACAAACTTGCTTTATACGAAATCCTTAAGTCTGACGGATATGTCGGTTTATGGAAAGGAAAAATCTTCTAGTCAGAGGAGGCGGTTATCTAAACTGAAAGGGTTAGTTATTCCTGAAACTCCTGAAAATGAACAGATACCTCAAGTGAATATTCCTGAAATCAAAAGTATTACGACGTTACCCATTAATATAGAAACAGAGAGAAAAGAGAGTTATCAGGCTATTAGAAAAACGCCAAGTCCTCCCATATCGTCCATTGTTCTGCCTTCCTGGACAGCTAATACAAACCTTCCTAAATATTCGCCAGCTTTTAAAAGGAAAAGCTTACACGTTTATCCAGCAACTTTATCAAAACACTCTGACTCTTACAGCGAAGAGGGTAGCTTAGAAGACTATGTCAGCAGCACTCAGTCAAGACACAGCGATGATTTAAAATCATTAGAAAGCATCTCATCACCGACTCGCTCAGATTACAACTTTGAATACATTAGTTCGAAAATCACGACAATCAAAGATAACAAAGATCACATAGACAGTGATAACGACTCAGCTGTCAGTTCTAGCCAGTCGAGCTTCAATTCCAGAAGCTCTCCCCCTCCTTCTTATGTACCAGATGAGAAATTAATATCTTCAGAGAAGATCGACCGTCCTTTCAATCTTGAATCTATAAATAGGAAAAATATATTATCCGATGCTAAATGCAGAAGCGGTCAAGACACGAAGGTACCTTCAATTATTGAGAAAATTAATTTAATAGAAGGACGTCAGAAGAAGGAACAAGAAAACAACATTAGTAATGAAATCTTGCTGCAAGACGCCATATTGGACGAGCTAGTTATAAGAAATGTTCAAGATAAACCAATAGTAGTTAACCAGCCTGTAGTTTTAGAGGTCATGGACGCCAAAGAAGTTGTTCAATCGAATAAAGCTCCTGGTAAGTAACTTAAATCACATTGGTAATCAGTAATTATCTTTTTTTTGGTTTAGAATTATCCAGTATGTATAATAATAATATCAAACCAGTTCCAACCAAAAGGACTCTAGCTCCAACACCAACAGTCAGAGAACGCAAACTGATAAACGAAAGGCAATTTGAAAATAACCAAAATAAGTTTCTGAGCGACAAAAATAACTTAAAATCGTTCGAAAAACAGAAAGCACAAGGTGGAGTTCAAAGTCTGAGGGCCAATTTCGAAAAAAGAAATCACTCTGAACCAGTGCATGTACCTAAACCAATCAGACCTGTTGTGACTCTTAGAAGAACCGAAGAAGTATCTTCGTCGAAAAATAACGAACTAAAAGCTGCTATTAGGTCTAAATTTGAAAAAACGCCAGCTCCTTTAGTTGAATCAAGACGTGCATCAACGGGTGGACACGCTGTAAATGGCGGGACTCCTATTGCATCTTCATTTATAAGAAAAGAGTCTTTAAAGCCGTCTGTTCTAAACTTGCCAAGTTCAGTACCAGCCAGTCCACAAGTGTTATCTCGCAATGAGTTAGTTACAGTAGAACTAGTGGTCAATCCAACCGATGGACCTTTAGGTGTAGTTGTTAAAGGGGGTGTTGATCAGGAAAACACGAATATAATAGTAAGTATTTTTTTTATAAGAAATTTGAAAGTAATATTTACATTATTACTTTTACATTTTATCTTGAAGAAACTGAAATCAAAACACTTGAACTATTTTAGTTGATTGAAAACTATTCTAAGAAGATAAAATTAAGGTGATTTGTCAATTAAATTCAGGGTGAATCCCCAGATTATGATCTATTAAAAAATAAATCTGTTAAATACGAAGATTAAGCAGACTTTATTAAATAAAAACGAATTTAAGGTGGGATCAAATGAGGAGTGTCAAGTAAACAATCAAAAAGGATTGGTTTACGTTTCATATTTTTTTTTTAAATTGGTACTGTGAAAATTAAACATCTCAAAAGACTAGTACTCATTGAGAAAAATATATTCCTATAATATTATATTTAATTTATTTTAGATAGCTCTTAATAGCATGCAGCTCTCTGTAATACAAAAGGATTATATAAGCTATTAACAGAAAATATTAACTCCTAGAAGTTTATAGTCTAATAAAATTTTATTATTTTTATAGATAATAGCATGAAAACTACAAGTACTATTAAAGTCAATTGAAAAAAAATTACAGTATTTAAACTGCACTTAAAACTTTAGATAATTCAGTTCTATGCACTTGGGATAAAATAAAACCATCTAATAAAAACATGTAGCCCTAAATACCAATTATGATATAATTAATAAAAACACCTATATTTACAATTACTGATATGGTATAATCTATAACATGTTAATTGCATTTTGATGTTAAAATAGGATGACAAAAATAACCAATGAACCATAAAAGCTAATCTAATTTAATTACTTTCTAGGGCATTTTTAATAATTAACGCTAGTTTATCTTTATGCTCATGCAACTTGAATAAACAATCTGCTGGTAAAAAAATAATTGATTGATATACGGATCCATCCATATCCATATGGATGGGGTTGGAACTTATACCTCCATCTTCTGAACAAATCTAGAAGAATGCCCGATTATACCAAACCTGTATAAACATACAAACCAAATACAATTTGGTATAAAAATTATACCAAAAATGTATTAGTCTAGTTTATGGTAGATTTTTTTTATTTTTCAGATTAATAGAATTAGATATGGTAGTATTGCGTATAAAGATGGTCGACTGAAAAAAGGAGACAAAATCATTTCAATTAATGGTAAACCCACAAATGAAATGTCAAATTCAGATGCAACAGAAATATTAAAGGTATTTTTTAAAACCACATATGAAAATATGTATTATAATATTTATGTAAGAGCTCTTTTATGTGGACTTAAATTTGGAAAATCCATACATAAAAATAAACAAATTGTTGATTTGAAGTCATCTTAATACCGAAATTGTTATCTTGCCTAATCCATCTTAAATGTGACAAAGTAAATGTTTTATTAACCTAGGTTTCAAAGACTAAATATAGATGATAGATTTTGCGTCTTTTTTTATTAAATAAATTAATATATTAATGACAGATGATTTATAGCACGCAATGTATTTTATTTACAAAAAAAACGTCACAAAAGATTAAAAAATAATCTGAATTGCACCACATTCTTTTTTACTATAAAAAATTCTTAATTAAAAAAAAATAAATCCATATTAACAATACCGGGTGCGTCTCGAAAATGGCTCACCCCTATAACGTTTTTATTTCTTCAGATAAAGAAACCAGATTTGGTATGTTAGTATATGACATAAATTAGGATTGATTGTTGTATTCAATTGTTTTTGGTCACTTCCTGTTACACCGGAAATGACTACAACTTTTGATTTTTAAATGGCACCCTCGGTTTTTTTTATTTTATTCGATAGGAAATAACATTCTGAATAGAATGACATATCATATGTCAACTTTTGACATTCTCGCTTAAAACGAAATTAAATTTTAAAATTCAATCTAGAGTGCCATGGTTATGTTAAAAATACTAATTCTTAATCAAGGAGCCTTGGAAAAATAGAGTTGATTGTCTAATGTTTTTAGTGTCTTGTCCTGGCCAGTTAGAATTTAAAATGCTCAAATCGTATTTTTAATCATATTTCAATTTTTTCAAATGGAACGAGGGTGGCTCATTAACATATTTGGAAAAAGCATTTTTTTACGAATAATTTGGCACCACACACTTGGTATTTCGAGTCAAATTTTCGTTACGAACCGCAAGTTATAATTTCTAATAAACCATATGCGAAAATGTCAAAAGTTGACATATGATATGTCATTCTATTCAGGGTGCAGCCACACTATCCTAAAAACGGCGTATCGGCGTAACGGCGTAATGACCTTGAAATCGATTCAAGGTCGTTACGCCGTTACGCCGATACGCCGTTTTTAGGATAGTGTGGCTGCACCCTCAGAGTGTTATTTTCTATCGAATAAAGTCAAAAAGAACTGAGGGTGCCATTTAAAAATCAAGAGTTGTAGTCATTTCCGGTAAAACAGGAAGTGACAGAAAACAATTGAATACGACAATCAATCCTAATTTATGTCATATACTAACATACCAAATCTCGTTTTTTTAACTGTAAAAATAAAAAAGTTATAGGGGTGAGCCACTTTTGAGACGCACCCGGTATACATTTTTAGTGATAGGTAAATATAATATAATAATATATAATCTGTTTTTTTTTTTGTCAGGGTAACTACAAAAAATTCTCAATAGTAATTGAGGAATCAAATGATACATTACCAATTTCTCCATTATCTAAAAAATCATCGTCGTTACTATCACTGACATCCGAGACAAAAGGTAAGGGTAATTATATCATTTTTACGTATAATAACTAGAAAATATGTTAAGGAATTCATATTAATGACAAAAAACATATACTATTTTTAGAATCAGTTATAAGCCTGGATCTAGAGAATAAGCAACCTACTAATTCTGTCACAATAGTAAAAGATGCTTCTGGTTTAGGATTTAGTATTGAAGGTGGAAAAGAATCACCAAAAGGAGATGTACCATTGGTTGTTAAAAAGATATTTGCAGGTAATAAAAAGATTTTAACAATTATTTTAACTATATGAATCTAAAAAAAATATTTATACTATATTGTCCAGTTCTTTATAGTTCCTTTTATGAATTTTAGGAGGGGCAGCTGATAAATGTGGACAACTGAAAGTTGGAGATGAAATTATCGCAATCAATGGCACAAGTTTTCAAAACTTAACCCGTATAGAAGCCTGGTCCCAAATGAAAAAAATGCCTGATGGACCAATAAAAATTGACATCTTCAGATAATGTGATATAATTACCATATATGTTTTTCTTAGCTGTGTGTATTGCCATTTGTTATTATTTATTTGATAACTGTTATTCTTTATTACATTTTGTATATAATTATTTTTGCCTACATCTGGGTAATATGTTAAAGTTTTTATTTATTTTTCTAAAAATTAAATTATATGTAGTTTTAGTTTTCCCATCTTTTTATATAAATTAAAGCTGCTATGTATTTAAATAAAATAAATGTTGTAAAACCCTAATAGAAACTTAAATTTAATATACACTTATTACAGATCATAAGTATCTTTGTATCATTAAACCATGTATGTGCACAATAGAATAAAATTCAATTTGTGTCGAGACTATAATTAATAATAAAAATATAATTTGTTTTATTTATATCAATATACGTATAAAATATCTCTTTTACAAGTATTAGAATCACTGGTTTTATATAATATATTTTTTTTAATTGCATTATATTTTTTTAGTATGGCGAATGCGGAGGAAATCGTATTTTACTCTAATTGATGGAAATTTTGAAAAAAAGCTACCGCAAATGTTTTCAATTGACTCTATAGCTATACAAATATTTTATAGGTGTTTAACAAATTACTATGTTGTTTATAATAAATTATCATTAAAGCAAATAAATGTTATATAACTCCAGATTAGTTGCGCATCGAGTTGCGTCATTTTGAACATAGCGCCTTTTTCAATGTCATATTTGTCAACGTAGTATGACCACTGACAGATGCAATTGTACAAAACAAAACTGAAATTCCCTGATTTGCCGAGACGAGAATAATTGAAAAAAATAGCAAGAAAATATGAATAGTGGTTTTTAATAATACGTTAGTGATTTGTAGTTTGTAGTTATAGGAGAACCCTAAAAATTGCCCTTTTTAAGTTATACAAGGTGTAGTTTTATTGTTTGTATTTATTGTTCTGTAAAGTGTATTGGACTGCCATGCTTTCTTGAACATGGTTCAACTCCATATTGTTAATTGTATTCCGAAATATTCGTAATAATATTTGACTGGGCAAGTTTAACGTAAAATTAGTGATTAAGATGGACACTCAGGTGGTTCCTGCAGTATCTAACCCTCAACCAGGGGATGACAAGTGGGAACCTGGAACATCTTATGCCTTGGCAGTTCAGAATTTTAAATCTAACCAACAAATTTCGACCAAAGAAAACACCGACAACAGCCAAGAAGAATTGCCAAAACCAATTTCACAAAAAGTGACGCCACCTCCAGCACAGACAGGAGATGATGAGGATGGAAGCTTTACTCCGGTGGTAAACCATAGCCGTAAAGAAAGGAAGTCTGAAAAAAAGAAACAGAGACAGCTACTGAATGGAAACATGGACAAGGCAGAAAGACACCCAGAGAGGACCCATGACAAAAAAGATTTACATCCTGTCAGAAGTAAGCCAGAAAAAGATGAAAAGGAGCCTAAGGAGAAGGACAACGAAGAGAGTCAAAATGATCCAAAGAAGGTATTCGTAGCTGCTCCTTTACCTAAAGTCAATCCATGGCAAAAAAATAATAAAGAATCGCATGCAATACCGGCTAAACCTACTGTATCTTCTAAAAAACCAGAGCACCCTGTAGTTAATGGAAAGAGCTTTAAAGAGTCTACTAATAAAGGACAGTTAAACAAAAATGTAAGTTGATTTTCATACTTTTCATAAGTTTTATTTTGTCAAAATATATAGATTTTTTCTATGAAAATTTAATGCCTGGAATTTCAGACAAATTTTCAAAAATATCTGCTATATTACTTTTGACCTTGAATACATGATATCTACTATTTATGAACTGGTATTATAAATATTGTAAAAAATATTGTTAAAGGGTCAATTTTTATCCATAAGTGAACAATAATTTATATTGATTTAAATATCCTAATATAAACATGAACAAAAGCACACATTAGAATTATTAATTAGACTCCATGTTAATTGATTAAAAATCAAAATTAATTGTAGCTTAAAAAGATTGAGTTTTATTCTTGAGAAACATTTAATAATAGCTTCTGATATCATTAAGATATAAATTTTAATTTGTTTTATCTATGCTCTTATTTATTTTATTATTATTTAGGCTAGTGATTTTTCTAATATTGGAGATTGGCCTACCTTAGGGGATCATACACCAGAGGTTAGTAAAATTAATTATAGTATAAAAGAAATGTGAAATTACTGTATATACCTTTTTTAGATACCTTCTATTGCTCCAAAAGTGACTGAAAACAAAAAGGTATGTTTTAACCATTTAATTGTTTTTTCTATAATTCATCTTCATACCTATTCTATACAGCAGAAAAGATCAAGCAGTCCAACAAATTCTGCCTCTTCGCAAAAAGAAAAACCGCAAGTATTAATTGAGCAGCCGCAGCAACAAGATGACAAAAGAAAAGCTTCCAAACACAAATGGATTCCTTTAGAAATAGACCTAAGCAAAGCTCATAAAAACGACCGGAGAAGAAATAACAGGAATAATTACTATGACCGTAAGTCTTTCAAGAATAAATAGTTTCAAAATCTATTATATAAGAAATATAAATATTATTTTGGGACACTGTATATTCCCGACAGCATTGAATCAAGTGATAAAATTCAAATATCCATACAAAAATATTTTGTGTTGTTAAGTAATTGAGTCATAAATGCATGTGTGAACTGTGGTACATAAAATTTATGTTTTTGTCGTTGAAAAAATGAACTGTATGTATCTAAAAATTGTGTTGAAAATTCATGATTGTTGCTGCTATTTTTTTATTAAAATATAAAACAAAAATATGTCAGGTAATAGTTTGTTTTATAACTTATCTTTATTACTGTTTGATTTATAAAAACATTTATTTATATGCGCAGTTTTTTAATCTACATATTTTTCTCCAGTATTTTTAAAGCATATATAAATTTACAGGGGATGTCCAGTCAACTGTCAGTGACGGTGATAGAGATTGGAGAGCTGAATCGCTGAACAGCCAGAATCACAGACCAAGACCTGCATCAGCGGCACCAAGAGGTAGATGGAGAAACAGAGGCAACAGAAGAGTTGCATTTAATAGAAGCTCTTCAAATAGGGCTTCCGCTGATGGTGATTTTCTCGAAAATGGTATTGATTTTGCTCAGGTATTTCAAAGAAATTGTTTCTTAGGTATTGGGGTATTAATTTGTACATTACAGTTAGGAAAATTCGACCATGGTGCTGATGGACATAACTATATGGTACCTTACATGGGAACATATTACTTTAATAGTAATAACTACCTCAACTTGGATGGTCCAACCCTTAAGGAATATATTCGCAACCAAATGTAATAATTTCAGAAATATATATACTATAATATATTAAAATGACACATTTTTATCTATAGAGAGTACTACTTCAGTGAAGACAACCTCAATCGTGACTTCTTCTTAAGAAGAAAAATGGACCCAGAGGGTTACTTGCCTGTAACTCTGATCGCCTCATTTCACAGAGTTCAAGCTTTAACCAATAATGTTGCTCTGATTGTCGATGCAATAAGCTCATCAGATAAAATAGAGTTATCTGCTGGATTCAAAGTAGGTTTAGCATCACTGAACACTTTCATATTCAACAGTATTGTTCCTTTAGGTTAGAGCCAAACATGATCCTACAAAATGGCCTATTTTGGATAGAAACAATGACAAACACGATGAGATTATTTCCAAATTAGTACCCCCACCACCTGTTCCTAGAAAACTGCAAACACCTCATCATCACATAGAAAATCTTAATCCTGATGTTGCAGAGTTTATTCCTTATGATAAAGGTAAGTTATCAATCTGTCAACAGTTAGAAATTGAAAGAAAGTTAAACGTTTAAATTTCAATGACAGAAAAGCCAAATAACACACAAAATACCGAAAACAAAGAGAATCGCGTTCCTCAAGTAAATTGCGAGGACGCTTCCGAAAAGACTGCAAATGTGAACGAGAGTCAGAGCCCCAAAAATAAAAACAAAAACGACGACGAAGACGAAACTTGGTTGCAAGTAAAACGGAAAAACAAGGAAAATAAAGGAAAGAAGGAAGCCAAACCTAAGCCTTATGAGTTTGAAAGGGAAGAACTGGAGTTTCATTTTGATGAGGAATTGGAAAATGTCCCTATTGGAAGGCAAAATACCTTTACGACTGAGTGGTAAGTCTTGAAAGTTTTATTTTCATAGTTCATACTATCAACTGCTTTGTTAGAATTTAGCTAAAAATATATTATAATGATAAGAAGAAATTAGAAAATATCATATTTTCAGTAATTATCAGTATAAATGAACGAATATCGAAAAGTTTATAATAATAACAATCAATATTATTGATCTGTTATTATATTTAAACATAATTACATAATATTGAGTTACATATAGAGGTCATTAAATTTTAAAAGTTTTTCCGTCTGGCTAATAATACCTAATGTTTTTAAAATTGAATTATTCAAGTTCATTGTCATATGTTTTATTTATGTACAATACATAGACAGTAATTACTATTAAAAAGACTTACATAATAATAAACTGCTCTATGATCTATTTTTAATTGGAAAATAAAATAAAAATATTTGTTTTCTTGGTTGTTACCCTATTTATTTATGCTAGGAAATATGAAGTATATATTATTGGAATAGTTTTCAAATATTGGCAATTTTACAAGGTTATAAGCTAATGTATTATTTTTCGAGTTTGTTTTTATATCGTCATATAAACACGTTTTCAGATAAGATTTTTTAAAAATAGGTATTGTACGAAAATTACGGCTGCCATATTTTTTCAAAGAGATATTCGAAATTTATATTTTAGCTATCTGTTTATTATTACATAAATTATACAACAGAGGAATATTTTTTAGAGTATTAGAATAGCTGGATATGTAACAACCTATTTGAGTATGAACTTGACATGAAATATAGTAATTTATATATACAGAGTTTGTCAAAAAGTTGAAAAAAAAAAATATTGAAATTATGCCGACTCTCTGCAGCATGTCTTTCTTCAGTAAGTTTTTAATAAAAATATTTTTTATTACTAGGGCTAATGAAGAGGATTCAGATGAGCTGAGCGACAGAGATGTAAATAAACTTCTCATTGTAACTCAGACTCAGGCACCTTCATCCTCGCGTGTACCGAAGCATGAAGGCTATGACAGGACCGGTGACTGGACAACGCGTGTCAAAATCACGCAAGACCTGGAACAGGCCATCAACGACGGACTCTATTACTATGAAGAGGATTTGTGGAACGATATTGAATTTGTAAGACATATTATTGTGTTATTTATTATTACTGACATATCGAAATTTTAGGATCGTGCTTCTTCAGGAAGCTATAAGACTGTAACCATAATAAGTCAGGAAGATTTCCAGAAGTTAGCACCGCCGGCACCTAAAAAACAGAACCCTGAAGTTCCTCCTCCACCACCGCCTATTGTTAGTTTTAAAATACACAAATACTGTTTATTTTACGCGTATTTATTTTTAGATTGAGTTTAAAGTGTCTGGGAATAACCAGAATTCAAGAAAAGGTCCAAAGAATGCTCCACACAGAAACGTTCCAAGATTCTACGCTGTGGTTAAAGATGAAAGACCTGATCCAACGACGCCAAGGAAAAGAAAAACGCGTCACTCAAGTAATCCACCGGTTGAGCAACATGTTGGCTGGATTATGGATGTCAAGGAACATAGATTGAGGACGACATCAACTGGGTAAGTTTATTATATTATATATGTTATTGTATAATTTTCAAGATTTCTAAATTTGCAGAAGTAGTTATGGGGCTAGTCCAAGTGAAGGTGTTTTGGGTACCAGTTACGGTAGTGTACCTCAAGCTTTGCCGACTTTCCAGCATCCATCCCATGCTTTGCTCAAAGAAAACAACTTCACTCAACAGGCTTATAGCAAATTTAGACAAAAGTGCCTTAAAGGTAAAGATTCATGGATTTTTTTTTAAACATATTTATTTGACTTATTTTTTTAGAGCGGAAACGATTTGGCATTGGACAATCAAACGAAATGAACACCATGTTCCGATTCTGGTCATTCTTCTTAAGGGAAAACTTCAACAGAACAATGTACAATGAGTTCAAGTCCCTTGCCCTTGAGGACGCTGCACAAGGCTACAGATATGGCTTGGAGTGTTTGTTTAGATTTTATTCCTACGGGCTCGAAGTCAAGTTCAGACCCCACCTTTATGAGGATTTTCAAGAGGAAACTGTGAGAGACTACGAAAATGGACAGCTTTATGGGCTTGAAAAATTCTGGGCTTTCTTGAAATACTACAAACACGGAAGTCATTTGACTGTCAATCCTACCCTAAAAAAACATCTTTCTAATTTCAAAACCATCGAGGATTTCAGAGTCGTTGAAGTAAGTTAGGACATATAAGTATTTATATAATGGAGTTCACAACGTTGTTGTTTTTTTTTTCAGCCAAGAATCAATGAAATCTTCCAGTCAAACGGGAAAGGGTACCGTCAAAAACCGAGGAACAGGACACTTTCTGAAAGCCAAATAGCACCTGTGCCAAGCACTTCTCGCGACGATAGTCGTCGATTATCCGCTTCTAAAGACAAGTGAGTTGGATTAAAGGGAGTAGATTCGATGTTTTTGATATTATTTTTGTATTTTTAGATGTGATAACTCTGTAAATCAATACCCACAACCCGGCACGAGCGCACCTGCAAGTACAGGTTTCAGATACCAAAGAAACCGCACCCATTCTTTTGGTTCTGGCCGAGCACAAAAACAATCCCGTACAAGAACTGATTCATGGAGAGCCAAAGATCATAGAGCTTCCCTTGGTAAATATACTCCTCATAGCATTACACTTTATACAGTTCCTACTTAATTTCTTTCTAATGCAATAATTTTATTTTAGTGTCCCATAGATAAATTGTGTAAAAAACTAAACTTGCCATTTAAGTCAATACAATTCTGAATTGCAATTTTTTAATTATTAAAAAACCTTATAAATATAATGAATGTTTCTCTGTAATAAAATATATATTTTTTTAGGTGCAACACAAAATACCTCCGAGGAATAATGAGAAATGTTTTATAAGAAGATAAAAATATTTGTTAGCTGGATATTTTTCATATTTTGGTAGGCTTTATAGTTAGAAGATTTTATATTCTATTTCTACAGGTACTATGTAGGTTTAAACTACATCATCTCAGCTACTTACTATAAATATAAAAATTCATAAAAAAAATACTTTAAAAATGTGCTGTAAATCAGAGAGTTTTTTGGTGCCATTGCTTCTAATTGTATGTTCCCTGTTTTTATTTTTCAATCACATTTTTCTTTAATCTGTGACAATGTTGGTTATATCTGTTGCGAATTCAATAATAAATTCAACTTTTTAATATTTTAAATATAACTCTCTATATAGATAATTAAAACTAATAACTTGCATTTCCTAGTAATACTCTTAGATCATTCTACCACCTTGGATTTGGATTATTACCAAATCCTCTAATAATTATTATTGTACTAGTCTACAGGTAGACATAGTAAAGCTCGATTTATATTAGCAAAATCAGTGAAATTGAATTTTATCTACTACTTCCCATTAATTTTGCAGTATAAATCGGATCCTATTTGGTGTTAACAAATACACAAATATTGTGATTACAAGGGAGTTATATTCCTAATTTAGTCCATATGTTTTATAGAACTGAAGTAATTTCTTAGTCATTTTTTCTTAATTTTATGACAATTTTGCACAAATGTGATCAAAATCAGTTTGGTATAATGTTAGTTTGGTTTCTTTGGAAGTCAGTGAACACGAAGCCTGTTAGTTACATGGAAACCGCCACAAGTTGCACTATATGATCATTTTAAACAGAGATGGGTGTTATGTAAAAAATCTAAAAGAAAATCACAAAGTCAAAAATATCATTAAAATACAAAAATCAAATTGAAACATAGTGAAATAACTTAAGTATTTTTTTAGAAGTCATTATCAGTTAACAGTGTTTTTGGATATTCATGAAGATTTTTTTACATTTTAAGTTTTCTACACAAAAATGTTTTATCCGTTAAGCTTTTTTACTCGCCCATCCTTGCTATATTAAGTATTATTATGGATACCATAAAGTTGAATTGGGATATTGCCTGTTTACATCTATCAATTTGTTATTGACAACTAGTAAAATTCTATGGAAATAAGCATGTTTATTTTAAATGATCATAAAGTGTATTAAATTGGAAGAACAACAGACCATATTGGTTTTTTGTTAATAGTTGTATATTTTATAATATAGTTCTCACTACGTTTATATATTCTACGTTAAGTTGTTTAATTTTTTTTTATATATAAGGCTATGCTTGTGTATATACTGACTCGTTGTAGGTAAATACTCTCATAATCATCCTACATTTTGGCTGTTTTTTTTGCTTTTGCATCATCATGATTAGACAAACGATATGTTCAATTAGGTGTGGTATAAATCTTGATTCTTCATTTCACTTTTGGATATAGTATGTTAAAAATACTGTAAGACGACGAAACTTTATGGTGTAACTGAACTATCAGATTACAATTTTTTATTAGTTGTACTGAAGTTGGGATTTTATATTTTTAAGAACCCTGTATATTATTAGTGCAGTGATTTCCATGCTTCTTTATAAATGAGTTGTTTAGTCTTGAATCCTAGAATTATGATCTTATTAAATATTTCATAAAATGTTAAAAATATACAACGATCTAAAATAAATTTTATATATTATAAAAACTTATGCCTTAGTTTTGGTGGCATGTAGAAAATAGTTTAAAATGAAATTTTATTATTTTAGGGAATTCAGTTTCTCATGGAAATCGCTGTTACATATATAAGCATATTCACATTTTTAGAATATGACAGAAGTTTGTAATGATAATATTTCATATTCTCGTAATATGCAAATATTTGTACTGTTATTTTTATGTATATACATTCTGATTGTATGGAAAATATGAAAAATGGATGCTTTCTTTCTAATTAAAAAACTATTTTTTATTCATGGTTCTTTAGAGAAATGAAGTTATAGATAAAAAAATTTAGTTCTTTATTTTTTATTTAATATTAAATTTTCTTAGAATGTATTTTAGTTGGCGATTTCTAAACTATCTGTATATAACTATAACTTTTAAAAATCCAACGTTAATTGTTCAATTGTGTTCTATAAAAAAAATGTTTTTGAGGTAATTCTTAACATTACCCTGCTTAGTTACTATGAGGAGTGCAAAAAAAAATAGGAAAAGAGCAAGGAGTTTTATTTGCATAATTTTAAGGCCATTCAAATTTGTTTAAGTCAATAAAGATTAACATAACTGCTAGAAAAATATATTTTTTTTACTGAAAATACATAATTTTATTTATACGAAAATAGAAGCAATATTTTGCTCAAATTTAATGTTAACTATTACTTATTATGTTGTTTTCTTTTGATCACTCTGTATTTAATTAATATCATTCGATTAATTAATATTAGTTTCTAATGTTTATTTTTAACTATGCCTTAATTTAGATTTTGTAATTACAATTTAAGAATGTTTGTTTATTAATTTCTTTGGGGCAGTTTCAGTTAAATTAATCGTAACCAAGGTAAATAAAACATGTGATATTGTAAGGTTTTTAAATATTTTGCTCAACTCCTTGCATTTAATTATAACTGCATTGTACAGTAGAAAGTAAGGTAGTTCATAGAGTGTGTTGTGGAAGTATGGTGTCTGAGTTGTCTTCCAGTGACACTAAAAAAAAATTAAAAACTTTCAAAACCGCCTATGTTTCGTTTTATTTAATGCCAAAAATATTTTTTAGACGTGTTTCACCTTATAACAAATAAAGTAAATGTATGAAATAACTTCTCTTTTAATGTTTTATTATAACTTTATAGTTTCTATCTTAAATTGTATAGTTCTTTTCTAAAATGTCTCTTAAATTGCAATAATACGTAAATAGAAAACAGTATTTTGGTAACCAATAATGATGGTGATTTGTTTGATTTTTTGGATTTATTAATTATAAAAAGCAAATATATCCCGGGAAACATTTTTATTTTATAAATAATTTAATACTATTTATTAAGGCATTAATTTGGCCCACTTTTTAATAATTTTACCCACTATGTGAAGTTAAAATTAAATTATTGTTAACAAAGAGGGCTGTGGATTCCTTCTTATTGGCTAACTCAAATATGTCATGACGTCGCGCATGCCCATTTTGAATGCCAAGGGATCCGCAACTTTCTGTCGCCGGCATTTTAAAATTTTGTGACTTTTTTTAATAAAAAGTGATTTTTGTGTACACTATATTTGTTTGTGAATCGCTCAGTCTCCCCAAAAAGTGAGTACTTGATATTTTCTCTATATTTCATTATAATATCTCGATTAACATTTTTTGCAATCTTGTAACCGTCATGGCTGTGGTCATGGCGTCTTCGTTTTTCTTGTCTTAATATTTTTAATTCTTGGTTTTCGATTTGTTTTAAGGTCATAATGTATATAATTTACTATAAAGTATTAAATATAGCACTTTTTGCGAAAATTCTCTGAATTGTTTTTATGCTAGTATAAGGCTATTATGTAATGTGTAGCTAGTCTTATTTTTTTTTAATGTTTCGGAAAGAAATAAGCTCATTACGGTTAATTTGTGAATTTATATTAATGCAGTATCTTAGCATAGGCCTTATATCAGTTTGAAATTGTCTGAAATTCAAAAATCATTAAACCAAAAAATAGGTAGATAGTTATCTTCCATGTTTACTAAGAATCTTTGTATTATGTAATTACTTGAACATTCGACTAGTCGAAAAAATCCATTCTAGTTAGTTAGAATAAAGAGTGGAAAGATGCAGGATCTTTTCTGTACCTGACTTTTTAATTTGTGTGTTTTTTAAGTAAAGTTGTTTAGGTGTACACCGTTTGTTCGAAAATTGGGTGCATCGTTAAGCCTCTTCAAATTGTGAGTACATTTCATGGTATAAATTTTTATTTTTTTGTAGGGGGTCTAATTAATATAAGGCTATATTTTTAGCTTGTTAATTTTTTATTTTTCAGTATAAAATATGATATTTGTTTTTCTTAATAGGTACTTTCATTAAATATGGTTTTCTTGTACTCAATGATTAAGATTTATCGATATAAATAAAATAATACCTTAAAAATGAAAAACAAAGAAAGCTTTTTTTATTTGAACTTTTTTGTAATTTGTGACTATGATGCGTAACATATCTTTTTGAAGTTTATTTTATTTATTAATCAAATAGTCTATTTAACCCCTATCAGGGGCTCACATCATGTGAGTACGGGTGTGGCAAGCCCGAGGTGTCCTAGCTGGATTCTCACTTTACTTAAACTTGTCTTGGGTGGAATTCCTGCTTATTTTTCTCCTCTATATATTTCTCTTGATTTTTCTATTTCTTCCTATTATTTTCTGTCTTTTTGTTCGCACTAAGGCCACCATGTTTTTAATTTTTTTAGACCCGATTGAAGACCAGCACCTATGTAGCATGCATAGGTACCCAAGGGAGTCACCACTGTCTGGTTTACAAGTTAGGTGTTCTAATGCTGCAGGCTTTAGCCGGATAAAACCTGGGACCCAAGCTACGAGACTTCTTCGTGCACGTATTGCGTGGCACCTCAAGAGCGTAGGGGACATGATATGGACACATTTGAAGATGAAGATGGGGGTTAGGCCTGTAGGGGGTCCTGGTAGCAGGTCGCTCGATAGGAAAGTGGATGATCTCTTCAAATCTGCAGAAGATGGCTGTTGAGATTTCCACTTCGGACGCGACGTGAAGATTTTTTTTTTGTTCTGCATCTGCCTGACGTCGATTTCTGGGCAGAGATTCGGGATAGAGATGCTAGCATAGTCCAGCTCAACCTAAAACCAACTAAAGTAAGTTTATTTTGTTTTTCTCTGTTGAGATTTCCGAAACTGATTTTTTTCTATTTTTCTAGGATAATTCGAGTTCATTGCGCGTTTAAATGAAAGACGATTCCAGATGAAATACTGCGACGCGTGTGATTGGTCCCAAAGCTTCTTCGGATTCTCCCAGACACCGTCAAATACCTACGTGATAAGTACCAACTCCAGAGGATTGTCCGATATCCAAGGAAGATAATTGCCATTTCTTTCATTGAATGGGACTGAAGAAATACCGACGAAAGGATATGGATATGATGGTACATAATACATTATATTAGAGGTGTTCTAAAATTCTAATATTGCATTTCTCTGTCTACAGATAAAGTAGCCCAGTCTAAACGGGAGGAATAGAAGAGGACTTGGAAAATAGGAAGAATAGAAAAGGGAATAGGAATTGCGATGATAGAGGAGTTGAATCAAAATGTGTTTAAAACGGCGGAGGGTAGAACTATAAGGTAGCTTTTAAACAATTTACTTGTTTTTTACAGATACTTATTTGGATTTATTTTTTCAGTTGAATTGCTGCTAAATATTAACAAGTCTGACGGGGAGGTTTCGCTTTTTTGAGGGGGTATGTGCAGACATTTTATGAGTGTCAATGCAGTGCTCAATATGAGAAAGCACTTTTCTTTAGCTGAATATTTCTTTTATAAATGTAAGTTTACTAGATTTCCAATTGCTTAATACCAATAATGACAGTATAGCTACTATTATTTTGGTTAAGAAAATTTTATTTGGTAAAGTCTTTAGATTGTTTTTTCTTTCAGGGAATATATTGTATTCTAAACACTCTTGGTTGGCCTTAGATGATGATCTATATCTTATGTCATGGTATTTCAGTAGATTGTCCAACTTATGAAGCAATACAGAAACTAGAATTGTCTTGACTTGTTCACAAATCTTAAAATTGATAGAGCTACCAGCATTCTTAAAAGTAAGAAACATTTCTTATTTTATACTTAAGGCTGATTTACATGTATCCACTAGCTAGCGCCAATTTCACTGACACGCCAGCATTAGCATGGTAGTGGTACCGTGTAAACATGTTTTTGTGCAAGTGATGGCAACAATTTACTTGCATTTTACAGATATTTATTTTTTTTTTCAGTTGAATTGCTGGTGAATGTTGACAAGTATGACAGAGAGGTTTAGCTTTTTTTGAGAGGACATGCAGACATTTTACGAGGGGTCAATGCAGTGTTCAATTTGAGAAAGCACTTTTCTCCAAAATTCCTCCTGCTCCTTCACCATATTCCAAAAGGTTGGTTCTATATATTATGTGTATAGACGTCTATTTTTATTCTGATAATATTGCAATTCTTTGATAAACTGGACAAACTTTAGACTTTAAAAAATATCACTGTACAGCAGAAAAAGTTACATAGCTCATAATGAATTCATCCTTTTTACATTTGTAGTGTATTATTTTAGGCCAATTTTATTTTGTAATGAGGAATCCTTTCTCGTTAAAAACGTTATTTTTATTTTTTTATTAAAACAACTAATTTAACTAACTAAATTATCTACTACATTATTTACTCAGCTTATTTGGTAGTTTTCAAAGCAATGTACTGTTTAATAAATTATAAACATTTTGTAATATTTGTATTCATAGAGCTACATAAAATAAGCACTCTAGAGGTTTTTAATTGTTTATCATAAGCCCTCTAGTTCGTTATAAACTTTCAATAAAAGACCTTATTATATTAACATAATATAACTAATGCAATTTAAATTTTCAAGCATATATTTCTACAAAATACGTGGTAATAAATTTTAAATATTTAAAGTTTATTATTACGTATTTTTTGGAATAATATATTTAATAATTTAGGTTAATAAAATATAGAGTCTATTAGTTATAACGTCGATGGATTTGTTTCTCTATGGGGTATGCAACCAAAGATACATCAATTGTGGATGCGGATTAACTTATTTTTTTATGTTTATCAATTTTTCTTATTAAAAATGATTAAATTCAGCTAGAGTACTTAATTTAGTTAAATACTATCCATGGTAATATACTTTAATACTACAAAACACTACTTTTATTCTTGTATTATTGCAACTCTACATTTTCATTTTATGTTTATTTGTATTAGTTTATATTTTAGTTCAGCACAAGTCACAAGTTAAATGTAGTAATACATAAATAGAATTAGTTTTTTAATATATCACACATATCGGTATATTTCTGTGCCATTCATGTAACCAGGCCTAAGCAAATTCTTATTACCCAGAGCCCCTCACACTTTTTCTGTTTAAATAAATAAAGAAAATTAGCATATGAAGAATTAATAATATATAAATAATGATGCTAGTATATCGTCCCATTGCTGCCAAAAGTCACTAACTTACTTTTTATTACTTCCGAGAAAATGCGTCTAAAGATGAATTGCATTGCATAATGATGTTATAGTTAGTAACTATTCGGTATTAAAATAAAACATAAATAGCCAGAAATCTTAGTTAATTACTTTTGCAATCGATTCTCCGCTTCAAAACATAGTTAGTGATTCAATTTTGTTGTTCGGAAAAATGTTAGTTAGTGACTTTTGGCAGCAATAGGACGATATGTAATATATAATATACTACACTAATGCTATTTTTTATTTCTATGTTATTGTAATTTTCAGTCAGCATTGTTCTGAAATTATATTTTTAACCTTTAATCAATTAATTATACAATAATTATTAAGTGATATAAATAGAATGTTTTGAAGTATATAATAGAAACCAGTAAATGTATTTTGTATATTTATGTTAAATAATAGCGATCTGGAATATGTTTCACTAGTCTATCTATTTGTTCAGGTTTGTTTCTCCATTTTTTTGTTATATGTAATTTAATTTACTCCTATTTCTTATAAACAAATAATGTAAAATTTATTGAGTTTTAAGTATATAATCTTATACAATTGTGTTTATCAGCACATTTTAATATTCTTTTTTTTTTAAATATGGGTCCAATAAGCAAATAGGGAAATATATAGATCCAAGAGATCGCTGCTATTCCATATATTATTTTTATTTATGTTTTACTTACTATGTATGTAAAACTCTATATAATAATAGAAGATACAGGGTATGTTTTGATTGCGGAGTCAGGGTATGTTTTGATTGCAGTCATTTTAATTGTCTTTTAGAGAAAAACTATGAATGTGGTGTTAAAAAAACGGCGTCCAGTTGGCTGGGAAATGACGATCGATGACATTTTCCATATAAATTTACATATAAAATGACAGCAATCTTCGTTTCATAGCCAACGCTGATGCCCTTTTTTCTCGATCATACGGTATAAACTTGTCACATATAATGAACCACCTATCTATGCGAAAATGTATGAGGTCTTTTATTTGTAGCATATTAAAGGATGTAGAAAGGACAAGATTATATTAGTGGCTGTCGTATATTTTTTCTCAACTTTTGCTCCACGCCTATAGCTCATTCATTCATTATTTCATTATTCGTTATATGAGTAAAATACTCCAAATATTCCAAGGGCGTATATAGAACATTTTCAACCGAAGCTAAAACAAAAATAGATATTTGCAGTAATCTCTTATAGGTTTAGTTATACCCTTGATATATAGACAAGGGTTAACTTTACTTCTTTTGAGTTAGTTTCCCAAGACACCGTATGTGAAGAAGCAAAATAGTATATGTGCATGTATATGAGTATATGTTAAGAAGCAAATATCAGACAAACTTTAACAATATAACAATTATAACTTTTGTTGAAACAATTCAATACTATTATTAACGAGTAATTATTAAGATACTGTGACATATTTTTTTATCACATGGTATATATATTTCTTTAAATCGTCTGTTTGTTATGTTAATTATGTAGCAACTGGTTTTTCCATGAAGTATGTTAATACGTATTTTAGATAATTACTATAGAATATTTTTGACAACGTTAATTTTTTAAATTACCTCTGAAGATATATACAGGGTGAGTCTTAAAAAGTGCAAATATTTTCTGGGCTTTATCTCGATAAAGAAATTATTTTCTTTTTACCGTTTTAAGTAAGTCCAAAATAACCGAGTTATTTTTCTTTGAAAATTTCAAAGAAAACAATTTTTTGCTTAAATTTTGAGAACCACTGGATCTTTTCTGGGTTTTCTTTCTTTTAAATTTAATAATCTACTATATATGTTGCTATATTATTAAGAAATTATGGGTTTTAACTAAAAACTTAAAAAAACGCCAAAATTTTTTCCAAAAAATTCCAAATCTTCATTTTTTTTTCGCGAAAAAAACTCATAATCGTGTTTCTGGGGTTGACATATACTACCCGTAAAAATATTTGCACTAATTTAAGACTCACGTGTATTACTGCGGTGCTGCATATTGTACTCATATATTGTGCTCATATTTACTTGGTAGGTTTACGGAAAATTTTTTTAGTAAACTATTCTTCTAATTTGAGATATTTATTCTAACATATATAATAATTACGTATATTGTAATAATGTAATGTAGTGTAATTTTTCTTCAGTCGCACGATATTTTATATTAAAACTGAAAAGTACTACGTACTTGAAGAGTTCTATAAATCTACGACAGCTACTTACCTTTTTACGCCATTATAATAAGCCCATTTCAGCCCACTAATGTCTTTTATTTCCCACTTGACCTTGCCTACAACAAATTTTCAATTTCTGTAATGAAAATTTGTAGTAGGAGACAATGTGCAAAAAGGAGTATAAGTTTAATAACTTAAACTTACACTCCTTTAGGTGGTCACACTTCTCTTCGTTTTGTAACCCTACTTGATTTCATTATACTATGAAATCAAGTAGGTTTTGCTGGTAGGCGCCTACTGTGTGTGTATATTATATACATACATCACAGTAAGTACTATATAATATAAAGTACTTACATGTGTATGTATGTATTAACACACACGTATGTGTATTATGCACATACAACGCGCACAGTATGTAGGTAGGTACTGTAATGAATTGTACCTACTACTCTCTGTGCTTGTTGTGTGTCATAAAACATACATAACACACACAGTAGGCCTTGGTAATTTATAATATATATACTGTATAATCCCTGCTGATTTTTAAAATTTTTAATAAATTTGTTTTAAGAAGAATCTTGTTTTTTAATTTTTTTGGGACTGAGGCGCCCTCTGGTGTCAAAAGTCGGAAACTAAATTTTAAGTTCAGAGTTTTGTCGTCAGAGGGCGCTACAGACGCTAAAAATTGTATGCGACATTAGCGCCCTCTGGCGACAAAAGGCGGAAACTAAATTTTTAGTTTATAGTTTTGTCGTCAGAGGGCGCCACAGTCGCTGAACCTTAAGCGCCCTCTGGCGACAAAAGGCTAAAACTAAATTTTTAGTTCATAGTTTTGTCGTCAGAGGGCGCCACAGGCGCTGAAAATTGTATGCGACGTTAGCGCCCTCTGGTGGTAAAAGCCTGAAACTAAATTTTTAGTTCATAGTTTTGTCGTCAGAGAGCGTCACAGTCGCTGAACCCTTAGCGCCCTCTGGCGACAAACGGCTGAAACTAAATTTTTAGTTCATAGTTTTGTCGCCAGAGGGCGCCACAGGCGCTGAAAATTGTCGCCCTCTGGTGGTAAAAGCCTGAAACTAAATTTTTAGTTCATAGTTTTGTCGTCAGAGAGCGCCACAGTCGCTGAACCCTTTGCGCCCTCTGGCGACAAAAGGCTGAAACTAAATTTTTAGTTCATAGTTTTGTCGTCAGAGGGCGCCACAGGCGCTGAAAATTGTATGCGACGTTAGCGCCCTCTGGCGGTAAAAGCCTGAAACTAAATTTTTAGTTCACAGTTTTGTCGTCAGAGGGCTCTCTCTGTCGTCGAGTTGACCCTCTGGCGGCAAAACACTGAACTAAAAATTTAGTTTCAACCTTATGTCGCTAGAGGGCGCCAACATCGCATAAAATTTTAAACATATGTGGCGCCCTCTGACGACAAAACTCTGAACTAGAAATTTAGTTTTAGCTTTTTGACACCAGAGTGCGCCACAACCGCATAAAAATAATTTAGAAAGAAAATAAAACGCCAATTATTTGCAAAAAATTATTTATTTATCTATCTCAAGTTAACAAAAAGAGCGTACAGTTCAAAACTTACATTATATAAAAGGGTTTTTGTGTCCGTAAGTATGTATTTTACACACTGGGGACACCGAAGTCTTGTGTTGATGTGGGACCACATATACATACAGTAGTGTGTGTGTGTGTGGAGATATAACACACACACTATTGTGTGGATATGCAGTATACACATCCATACTACTGTATGTAAGTATGTACGTTTAGTATACGTAGAGACACGTGTACTAAACGCACACATAAAGAAGCGTGGGTGTGCCACACTCCAACACAAAACTTCCAGGGCTGTACCGAGAAAAAGAATAACGACATATGGAAGTTCTTCCAACGCCGCCTTGGTCCCTGGCTCGGTGCAGCCAAAAGAAGGTTTCCTTGTCCGCTACAATTGTAGCGGACAAGGCCAACTGCGAAAAACTCTATGGAATACTCAGATGCAGCCCTATTCTCTGGGTTGCTAGAGCCAGAAGGTTTTGCACCAGTGTGGCCATCTAAAGAAGTGTAACAGGTCTTTCAGATGGAGCAGAGCGTCCGCGAGTTCGAGCAAGTACCATGGGTTTAAATGAACAATTTCATATGGGTCGCGTTGCTCCGTCCGGATGATTCCGTCCGACAGCTATCTTCAAAAAAACGCGCGGACGAACAGCTCCATCTGAAAACGCTGAAAACTCTTTAAAAATGTGTATTGAGACAAGATTAAATGTATTCATATTGCTCATAATACCGTTTTACAGATATAAAATATAGTCGGCAATAATATAAAATAAGTGTAACATTCATGTAACGTATGTGAAAAACTAATTCTATTTATGTATTACTGCATTTAATTACATTATTATTAATTATCAGCTGTAAACTGTATAACTGTACGAGCTAAAACATAAACTAATACAGACACATGAAAATTGAAAATTAAAGTTGCAATAATACAAGAATAAAAGTAGTGTTTTGTAGTAATAAAGTATATTAGACCATATTGCAGTATTTCTTAAAAATTCTAGCATTTTCCATTAATACGTCACCATGCAAGTATTCGACGGTGCCTGAGGGAAACCGAAGAAGCTTTAATACCAATCACACGCATCTTGCACTATTTCATCTGGAATCTTCTTAGATTTAAATGCGCCACGCACTCAAATCATCCTAGAAAAATAGAAAAAAATAATCACTTTTGGAAATCTTAACAGAGAAAATAAAATAAACTTACTTTTAGTTGGTTTTAGGTTGAGCTGGGGTATGCTAGCATCTATCCCGAATCTCTACCCATAAATCGACGTCAAGGCATATAATGCGGCAAGGAGATGCAGTTTTGGCTCTTTTCTATGATTATGCCTATCCAGACAATCTCGATCGCAATTAAAGAGCCTCATCTAAGACGCCGTACCAGGCTTCATCATCTTCAAATGTGTCCGTATCCCATCCCCTACGCCCTCGAGGTACCATGCAATACGTGCAGGAAGAAGTCTAGTAGCTTGGACGCCAGGTCGTATCTGGCCGTAAGATCTAGCATTAGAACACCTAGCTCGTAACCCAGAGAGTGGTGAATCCCTTTGGGTACCTATGCATGCTACATAGTTCATTGTAAGGCAGAACATCAAGTTCGGAGATGATCCAGGTCTCCTCTAAAGGCAGCGTCGCGCTCCGCAGCGTCACCCTTTGATTCAATCCATCCGAACACAATCGGCAAAATTTACTTACGAAGATTTCATTAACTGCTATCGATTTCGGCCGTTGAGCGGCAGTGTGCGGTCTGAAAAAAAGAATAAATACTGTAAGGCCTTTGACACTAAGAAGAAAAAATGGTCGAAAAAAATGAGAGATCACCGGAAATCAATGAGAAGAAACAATAAAAGAATGGATCTCATCCAAGACAAATTGAAGCAAAGTGTGTTTCCAGCTAGGGCACCTCGAGCTTGCCACGCCCGTACTCACAAGCTGTGAGGGTATATACAGGGTATTCTTAATGACATGCTAATATTTAAAGGGTGATTCTTAAACCTATTCTAAAAAAGGTTCATATGAATGTATGCCATCTTAATTTTTGAGATATAGGGTGGTAAAATTCTCTAAAAAACTTTTTTCTAATAACTTTGATGTATGAAGAAATTTGGTTTTTCGGGTTATTAGGCCGTCGTCGGTTAGAATTGCTTCCTAACGTTTCGCTAGCACGAGTGGCTAGCATCTTCAGAGGTGTGTTGGCTCCGATTGCTCACACTAGACTGATGTTTCCTAACGTTTCGCTAGCACGAGTGGCTAGCATCTTCAGAGGTGTGTTGGCTCCGATTGCTCACACTAGACTGATGCTTCCTAACGTTTCGCTAGCACGAGTGGCTAGCATCTTCAGAGGTGTGTTGGCTCCGATTGCTCACACTAGACTGATAAGACTCACACTAGATAGAAGACGTGTATCAAGTTTCCTAATGATTATCATTAGCCGTTATGAAAAAATTGTTATTTTAGAAAATATTACCACCCTGTATCTCAAAAGTTAAGATGTTTAAGACAATATTTTTTCTTAGCATATGTTCAAGAGTAACCCCTTTAAATATTAGCATGTCATTAAGGAACACCCCGTAAAATAAGATAATCATCGGACATGTGATATAATCAAAATGCACAAAATATAGGTATCACAGTCACAAATTCAACAATTATACAAGAAAAACACGAAATCGCTGTTATGTAAGCATATAGGTAAAAATATTCAATAAAAGTTATTAACAAAAATAACTAAGTAACATATTTCATATAGAAAAATAAAAAATTAAAAATAAAAAGCAAAATATCACCCTAATTCATCCCATATAGTATATATTATCCTTGATATTATGTTACGGTTAAGGTCCGATGTCCGGTTAATGTTGACATTACCCGGTTAATCTCGAGAATAACACACAACAAAACAACCAAAAACATAACCAAACCCAAACATTAACCTGTTAATGTCGACATTAACCGGACATCGGGCTTTAACCGTAACATATATATGCCTAATTTAATTTTTACTCCATAAAAGTTCAAGAACTAAAAATAAAAAAAAACTTTAATATTATTATTAAATTTTAAACAGCAATAAAATTTTCGCCAAATGTGTGATATTTAATTCTCTGTAATAAATACTATCTATTATGCCCTTAAAACAAATCGAAAACCAGGAATTAAAAATATTAAGACAAGAAAAGCGAAGACGCCATGACGGTTACAAGATTGCAAAAAAATAATCGAGATACAATGAAATAGAAAGAAAATATGGAGTACTCACTTTTTGGAGAGCTGAGCGATGACAAAAACAAGAGTTTACGAACAAATATAGCGTATACAACTCACTTTTTATTAAAAAAATTCACAAAATTTTAAATGCCGGCTCCGAAAGATGCGGATCTCGTGGCATTCAAAATGCACATGCGCCACGCCAATTTCCGGAAGACGTCATGACATCTGAGATCTGAGTTGACAAAAAGGAACTCATAGCCGTCTTTGTTAACAATAATTTAATTTTAACTTTAAATAGTGGGTTAAATTATTAAAAAATGGGCCAAACACTTAATGCCTTAATAAATAGTATTAAATTAATTATTTATAGAATAAAAATGTTTCCCGGGATATATTTTATGATTAATAAATCCAAAAAATCTCTATAAAAGAAGGTTTTTGGAGACCAAAGGAGACCAAACTGTGACCATTCTTCCAAACAGTGCCGTGGCATATATTTTTCTTAACATAGCCGCTTGAAGCGATATTTATATTTTTGGTAAATATTTTCACTACGCCTCTGGTGTGTCCTGTGGGTGGTATCCTTAGATTAACAATAGGTGGTATCATACTAATTAATTACGAAAAAAACGTATTAAAATTTTAACAAAAGGTACAAAACTAGTAGCGACGTATAGCACATATCAAGTACATATAGATGTTAATTGAAGTTGAGGAATAATTATCGAATTCAATAAAAAAAACGCTAAAAAGGTGTATTGGACTGTTTATTTCCCTATAAAACGTAACTCCTGGATCTTTCTTATCATTGCGCCTTTTACACTTGAAAGCTGAACAAATTACCATTGTAATAAAGTTTATACAAAATTCACTACACACAACCAACTATTAAAAATCGCTAAAATTGTCGCTGATGAACAGCTGATGATTCATTCGTTATGTCCAAAAAAATGGCGTCTAAAGGTCACAAATTTTGCTGCAGCCCGTATATGGCCGTTACATGTCCTTGTATTCTTTAGTCATTGATTTTTTAAATCGCATGTAGCGCCATCTAGTGAATATGTATTGAACTTCTTATTGAAATTGTAGGATTTTTTTTTCATTAAGGTACTCACTCCATCTATTTTTCTGTAGGTGGCGGTAGTCCCTGCGTGCAATTTAAATTGAAAACTGTAAGAAAACTGCCATCTACTGGAGATTTACTCCATTAACACGAAACAGTGTATTGCTAGTTGCCTCGATCGTAAATAATAAATGTTAATAAAAATTGATAATGATAATAAACACGTCATTAAATAACGCTAGAAAAGGTTTGAAAAATAATTATTAATCACTTATAAATTATTATATCCAGAAATAGAAGAAAACTACACAAAATGATTAAGTATTATTTAAAAATAGGAAACATACATACTATGACCTACTTTCTACATTTTAAAATAAATCTGGAGCAAAAGGAAGTCTTTTGAACCAAATACGTTATTGACATTATAAAAGAACCCATCTTTACTTAATAAAGATTAAAATTTTCTATATATAAATATGTGTATGACCGTGTATGACTGTCTTTATCTTAAAAATAGAAAGTTTATATTTAGCAATACCATCATTTCAAGTCTAATATGAAAATTTGAGTTATTTGAGGAAATATAGGTATATTCTAAATTTGTATTTTAGCAAGAACAGCTTGCGATTTTAACTTCTAATAATCTGAAAAAAATATATATATAGATATCCAACCTTAATTAAATACGTCCCTGTATTTATAAACGAATGGATGATATTCTTCGCGACGTTGCCACACTGCTTTTAAAATAGTAAATAAGAGTTTTATCAGGTTAGGGAGATAATGTGCCATGGGGAGATCTGATGTTTAAGGGAATATGTGCGCAAAAGTCTGACAACAGCAACAAGGAAGACAGAATCAGTTGATTAGCACGGCATGGACTTGCGTGTGTGGTAGCTAAACTTGAAAGTGTTGTGTTGTGTGTGGAAAGAAGAGTAGGCTTAATAAAATTTGTTGGCCATTGTTGTCCTGTGCTAATTGCGTCTTATAAAAATTCCCAATTTATAAGACATTCAAATTTCATGGTGAAATTCTTGTGACAATTTAAAATGTCGTCTCCAAGTGCTGGCAAAAGACGTATGGACACTGATGTTATTAAGCTGTATCCTTTTCTTTGTGTATTTCTCAAAATGTAAACACTTTGGCTTTATGTCAGCTGATTGTCATTCTGAAATTTCAAATGTATTGGTCCAATTTTAATTATATGAAAATTTATTTAGAGAAAAACAATGCTTCTATTTAAAATAAACCTATGTTCTATTTTTAACTTCTCAACCGAGTTACAGCTGATTGTCAACAATATGTTTGTTTTTAATTTTGATTTCCTTAACATTTTTTCAGTATTGAGAGTAAACATGAAGTAACAATCTTAGGGGGATTAAATGAATTTTGTGTTAAATTCTATGGACCTAGAGGTAGTAAGTATCTAATAAAAAAAATCTCCAACAAATAAGTGTCACTTATTTTGTGGGTAATAATTTTTAGCTGAAAAACATAGCTAATATGATTCATTTTTCTTTGCTTTAAAGCTCCATATGAAGGTGGTGTTTGGAAGGTAAGAGTGCATTTACCAGAACATTATCCCTTCAAATCACCTAGTATAGGGTTTATGAATAGAGTCTATCATCCAAATATTGATGAAGTCTCAGGCACAGTGTGCTTAGATGTCATCAATCAGGCATGGACTGCATTATATGGTATTTAAAAAACAAACATGTATAATAAATATATTGTTAAAAATAAATATATTTTGTAGACCTATCTAATATATTTGAGTCATTCTTACCTCAACTGTTGACTTATCCAAATCCAATTGACCCTTTGAATGGTGACGCAGCTGCAATGTACCTCCATAAGCCAGAAGAATACAAGAAAAAAGTGTCAGGTAAAGAATTGGTTCTTTTCTGAAAAGAAAAACAGAAATCAGTACATTTGGAATGCATGGTTTAAATTAAAGGGGTAAAACATTTTTTTAAGTTTTTTAAAGTATTTCAGTGAGGGCAATTTTGACATATATTATTTTCTATAATTTAAGTAAGGATAGTAACTGTATTTGTGTGCTTATTACAGAATATGTGAGGAAATACGCGACAGAAGAAGCATTAAGGGGTGGGGAGAATGTAAGTTCTGACAGTGAGTCGAGTATGTCAGATTTTTCAGAAAATGAAGCCGAAGATATGGAGTTATAACGCCGGCTGTCAAAAATACCTTTTATTTATTATGCTCGCTCAATGAGACTTCCTCTAAAATTAATAAATCCCGATCTAGATTTTAATACGTCGTGCTTAAATAGTTATTTATATTATTTTGGTTGTTTTGCATTTTCATAGTTTATTATTTACCCAATCTGTCTCAGGCCAGATTTCACAATTGACAGATTAGTATTTAATAGAAGTATATGGTTAACAACCAAAAATCCCCTAAGTAATAAACCTACATTTAATTAAATATGACCATTATAACCCATAGAGTGTATTAGTCATATTACATAAGTTCAGTAACCAAAACTGTCAAATATGGCAGAACCTATGTATATATGGGTATCGTAATGAGAGAGTGTTATTTTAATTTATCCGCATGTTTGAAAATATCTTATTTTAGAATATAATATTAATGTCTTGTTAAATCATTTTTGGCTTGATTTATATTGGGATGTACTATTTTCTTTTTTGTTAAATATATTATATTTGAAGGGCTTATTGCAATAACATGATATGCCACAAATCCATAATTCTGAATTATTAGACTTTGCAGTCTTTGAAAAAAATGTGTACATTTAACTATTCTTTTTAACTGGCTAAGTATTTATCTAACAAATTTGTTGGATAAAAGGCAAGAAAAACACTAGTTACTAGTTAATAAAACTGATTTCTGGTTAAGTGGCGTTACATGTTATTACAATAAGCCCTTCATTTGTTAAATATATTATATTTGTTACCTTAATTTATGGGGCTTCTTTTTTATAATTTATAACTTATAAATTCAGTAATATTTAGATTTTTTTATCTTCTGTTCATTGAAGAGTTTGATATTATTTTAAATATAACAAATATTTACTTGATCTTGGTAATGGCAGCACATTTTTTTGTTTTTAATCTAAACTTTTGGTGATATCATATAATACAAAACTTCAATTCCAAATGATTAAAAAATCTAGATATATACTGTTCGAAATATACTGTGTTTTATTTAAATCTGGTATAAATTTTTAACTTTATATGTCATAAAAATTAAGGAAATTGCACCAATTTGTAGGAGTACTGAGTAGATAACTTTATGTTATATATCAAAATTTTATTTATAAACATATCAGATTCGTTTAGCCAGCGGCGTAGCCAGGGGAGACAAGAGGGCATTTTCCCCTACCCAAGTCATAAAAAAATGTAGTTCCTACATATATATTTAGTATATTACTATAATTATTTAATTGCAGCTTTGAATTTGTTCATTTTTTACCATTAGTTAAAAAAATACTAGAAAATTAATTTTTTAAATCCTGTTTGCTTTCCTCCCCAAAAAACTTTTTCTGGCTACGCCTCTGAGTCTAGCTTTCTTTTGAACAAATTTGTGATAATTTAGCTCCACAATATTTTTTAATACATCTACCTAATAATTTTGTAAGAGCATTTCCTCAGGTGTTTGATTATTGATAAAAAAAAGATTGGATCAGATTTAAGAGCTTTGTACTTAAAAGTGGTAATAGATTTTTTGAGGGCAGATTGATATTTTACACTGGCTGATTTTGATATTAGTGTTGCCTTAAAGGACGAGTTTAATATTTTTAGTCCTTAGGTTAGCATTAAAGAGTGCAATTGTAGTAATATTTGCTTTTATTATATTTGATATATTCACTTTTTGGTAAAAAAGCTACTTAAAAATTCAGTTTTTTTTAACTTTACACTTTTTGCAGATTGGTGAATATTAATAATATAAGTATTCAGGTTTAACATTTTGTGGTCTCATTAAGTAACTGTGTATATACATTATATATTTAAGTAATAATATCTAAATAATTGAGTAATTATGTTATTAAAAAGGACCTTTCCCTGATTCGATAGGACGTATTTTTATATAGAGAACTTTTCGTGTTTTTCATATTTTTAAACGTAACGTTTAGATATAAGGATCATCTTCAACGTTTTATGTAAAAATGGATCTTTTTATGGACAGTTTGTTGTAGCCTATCTTAGCATATTTATTTTACAATAACGAGTTTATTAGCAAACATTATTGAGAATAATAAAACAAAGTTCTTAAAGAGGTGCAAAAATTGCGTAAAATAAAAAGTAGTTTTACGTTTTATAAAAAGTAGTTTCAAACAGTTTTATTAAAATGATAGAAGGTGGCATATTATGTTTGCTGATAGACTTCAATGCACAATAACAATTATTTAAAATTTTATTAGTAGCTGTTGTGAGAAAAAATAACATTATTTATATATCAATGGAAAATAAAAAAATAAAAAGTGCACCACGGTACTATTTTTAATTACGAATAATAAAACTTAAAAAGTAGGTCATATAGGTAGTGTAACTATTACCTAATAAAAAAGTCGTTTATTAAAAAATGTTTTTGTGTCCCTTTCTAATTCTTCATCCAGCTTTATACAAACGGTGAGAAAAAAAAAATTTTGAATGCTATATTTCAATTTTAACTGCATAAAAATCGAAAATGTAAAAGTACTGCAAAAAATTAATTTATACTTGTTTGTTCATTTTAATTGATAGGGACAACGTAAACTATTTATTCCTTATTAATTTTAAGTGGTTTATGAGAATCGATAATGTTAAAATTAAATTCTTTGTAGCTATTTAAATTCGCTGCATTTGTCTATTTTTGTTCCAAATTTAAATTGGGAACTAATGAAGAAAATTGAACTTCTCGATTATGTATAACTTTAAGATAATTTTCTACATCGTGCCGAGCTTGTTTACATCATGATATTTAAACATATGTATTTTTTCAAACGCGCTAACTTCCCATTCAATTGAAAAAGTGGCATATATAGTTCGTTACACAGTTGACGTTCAGTTCGCCTTGTGTACGATACCTTTTGAATACAGTGCCGGCGTTGGGTTTTTCCTTTGACCCAATCTTACTTTCCTTTTAATCTTCACTACATAATCGATACCGCTCTGATTTTGTTACATGACACCGGTTCTAGATTTGGGATGTACGATTTTCTGACAATTCAAACAAGTTATCAGTTTTATTCTCGTTTTTTTTCACAATATTTATCGTTTAAAAAAATAAATAGTTCAGTGCCAAACGTTAGGATCCTCTACATAAGAAAGAAGATGATTGGAAATGCAACACCAGTACTTAATATTACAAAAAATGTCTTTTAAAAATGTTACATGTAAGTTAACCTCGGAATTCTAACCTTTATTTGTTATAGCTTCCGAATTTTTTATGTTTTACACAGTAAGTTTTATCTTCTGGGTCCATTTTAGCTAGGGAACAATAAATACATTCGGGAATCCTAGCAGATGCATTATTCTAAATTAATTACTAATATTATTGACATTATTATGACAAATTTACTTTATTCAGATAGAGGTTTCAAATAAACATGTTAATATCTTTATTTACAATATAATAGTTTTGTTTGTATTTGTATTTGTAGAAATTTTAAATTTTTAATCAAAGAATACTCCAATAATTACTGAAATATGGTGGACACAGGGGGTAATGTCTTGCATATAGGGGACATAGTCTCCCTATATGCTGAAGGAACAATTAGTGGATTTTTAAGCACATTAGGGTAATGTAAAAAACATTTGTAAATTAATACCCATTTAACAAAAAAATATTTCAGTCTGGTAGATGATAGGTGTGTAGTATGTCCGGATGCAGGGGATTTACTTAATCCCCCCAAAAAATTTAGAGACTGCCTGTTCAAAATATGCCCCATGAACAGGTATTCTGCTCAAAAACAATTTTGGAAGGCGGCAAAGCAATCTATGGGGTCCAACACTGATACCAATTTGCTTAAAAGACTTCATGTAAGTTTTTAAAATAGAATTAAATCAAAAATAAAACCAACTCTGTAATTTGCAGCATGCTGCAGAAATAGAGAAAAAACAAAATGAAACAGAAAACAAAAAAATGTTAGGCTCAAATGTGTTATATGGAAATGTGGTTCAAGTAGGTCTTGCATTTTATTAGGAATTAAAATTATCAAATTTAAAAAAAATAAATTTTAGTTACTTCACTTAAAATCAAATAAATACTTAACTGTCAATAAGAGACTACCAGCACTGTTAGAGAAGAACGCTATGCGCGTTTATTTAGATGGGAGCGGGAATGAAGGCTCATGGTTTTATATTATGCCTTTTTATAAATTAAGAGCTACAGGGGACAATATAGTTCTAGGTGACAAAGTAATATTGAACCCTGTAGGGCCTGGACAACAAGTTTTGCATGTTGCTTCAAACCATGAACTGGCAGACAACCCTGGTTGTAAAGAAGTAAATACAATATAAAAATATATTTTTTAAAATAAAAGTATGAATTTACCTTAGGTAAATGTCGTGAGTGGGAGTACATCTTGGAAAGTAACACTTTTTCTAGAATATAAAGAAAATTTGGATGACATTTTAAAGGGTGGGGATGTATTGAGGCTTTTTCATACTGAACAAGAAAAATTCTTAACTATGGATGAATATAAAAAACAGTACCACGTATTTTTAAGAACCACAGGCAGAACAAGTGCAGCAGCTGCTACAAGTAGTAAAGGCAAGTTAATTTGAATGAAGGAAAAAAATATACAGTTTATAGCATTTTTAAAAATAACCTTGTATATAAATTGATGTTAATAGTTACATAAATCACCATCAAATAAATTTGAATTTGCATTTTTTATTAGACAACTTTTTGCCGCGAATGTATTTATAAGCCATTCTGATTTGAATGAATTAAATTTTAGCTCTATGGGAGGTGGACGTGGTTCAAAACGACCCCTGTAGGGGTGGTGCGGGTCACTGGGACTCTCTTTTTCGGTTCAAACATTTGGCAACGGGGCAATATCTGGCGGCGGTGCCGGATCCCGACGAAACTGAACCCAGCGACATCGCCACCTACCATTTGGTACCTGTAGCACACCCGAACGAGCGCAATGAAATAGCCTCTCTATTCGAATTGGGACCAACTAATTTACCTCCAGCAGACTCATTAGTACCCCAGTCTAGTTACGTGCGCCTGCACCATATTTTCACTAACACCTGGGTTCATTCCACTTCTATACCCATAGATAAAGACGAGGAAAAGCCGGTTATGTCGAAAGTGGGCTGCGCCCTAATGAAAGAGGACAAGGAAGCTTTCGCCCTGATTTCCGTGTCGCCTGTCGAAGTCCGCGATTTGGACTTCGCTAATGACGCATGTAAACTCTTATCTGCATTGTCTGTAAAGTTATCAAAAGGCACTATATCGCATAGTGAAAGAAGGTAACAACCAAATCCCCTATTACAGGATAAAGAACTCTAAATTCTAGGAGCTCTTTATGCTGAAAAATGTTATTCTGAACTTTGCGCAATTTTAGATCTCTATCAACATTGCTGCAAGATATAGTTTACTTTGTAGCAGAACTAGAAAACGATCAAAACAAATCTGAGGCTTTGGATCTTATAGTTACCAATCCTAATAGAGATAGGCAGAAACTTTTACGAGAGCAGGCGATTTTAAAACAACTGTTTCGAATATTACAAGTAAATCATGTCAAATTTTGTCTTGATAAATTAAGAAAAGTTTTTTTTTCTGTTAGGGACCTTTTATCGAGGAGAATGGCGAACCGTCTTTTTTGAAAATCGACGAGTTAAATGACCCTCGCCATGCGCCCTACAAATACATTTTCAGACTGTGTTACCGAATTTTACGTCTGAGTCAGCAAGATTACCGAAAAAATCAAGAATACATTGCCAAGCACTTCGGCTTCATGCAAAAACAAATAGGGTACGATATTCTGGCCGAAGATACCATAACAGCTTTGCTACACAACAATCGAAAATTGCTGGAAAAGCACATAACGCCAGCCGAAATCGAAACCTTCGTAGGCTTAGTCCGGAAGAACATGCACAACTGGCAGTCACGTTTCCTAGACTACCTCTCTGATCTCTGCATTTCAAACAAAAAGGCCATTCCAGTGACACAAGAACTGATCTGCAAGAGCGTATTGAGCCAGAAGAATTCCGATATTTTAATCGAAACCAGGCTCATGAAAACGCAAGTGGAACACTACGAAGTAACGGAAGAAGACGAGACAGACTTACTTCTCGACGATCACTTGGAACAACTGATAACCGTGGTGGAGGAGTGCCAAGTGATGCTTCTCTGGAACAACCGTCAGAAGCAGATGGCTTTAACCGACCTATGCAGAAACGCGAAAGTTGTAGGTAAAGATGACCAAGCGATTTTGGACTACTACAGACACCAGCTGGATCTCTTCTCCAATATGTGTTTAAACAGGCAGTATTTGGCCTTGAATAATTTATCGCCGCATTTAGATATAGAGCTGATCCTGAAATGTATGGCGGATGAAAACGTGAGCTTCGATCTAAGAGCCTCGTTTTGCAGGCTAATGCTGCATCTACACGTGGACAGGGACCCGCAGGAGCCGGTAACGCCGGTCAAGTATGCCAGGTTATGGTCGGAGATTCCATCTGAGATGTCCATAAACGAGTAAGTTAGCTTGTAAATAATTGCATGCGTTGGTTTAAATGTTTGGACTTTTTTAGTTATGATTGTAATAAAATGCCTGATCCGAATAAAGAGGCGGTGCGTGCGAAATTTTCGTCAACCATCTCATTTGTGGGTGGTTACCTTTGTAACGTAGTCGCGAAAATGTGGTCTTTTGCAGACCAAGAACAAAACAAACTAACGTTTGAGGTTACTTTCATCATTTTTTCTTGGCTCACTTATAATTAATACTTGCCATTTTAGGTTGTTAAATTGGCCAGAGAACTAATCTATTTTGGTTTTTATAGTTTTTCTGACTTACTTAAATTAACAAAAACACTTTTAAGCATTTTGGATTGTGTAGCTGAATCTGATTTGGTTGATGGAAGAATTCCTGTTGGCGATATTGATTGTAAGTAATTAGTAAGTTAGTAAAAAAATGTAGTACTGATTCTTTTCATTACTTGTGATCGTTACGATATTAACATAACAGCTGACGTTGAGGAAAAATCTGCGGAGAAAAAAGGTACTTTTTTGTCATTGAATTTTCTATAATTCTTTATTTCGTGTTTTTGTTGTATAAGGCAAGTTAAGCCTTATACAGGGTCCGGCAGTAGTGCGTCAGGCATCTGTAGCTCCTATAAAAAAACTTAGGAATTTTGTTTAGGGTGCAGACCTAATGTATGGATTAGGATGTATTTTAGGAAAGTATTTTAACTTCTACAGGGTGGCTCAAAAAAGTGTGAGTGGATCGCAATGATTCATTTGTATACGAACACCTAGTATATGTTTCCATGTTTGGCTTTCTTTCTGATCACCCCCTTTACATAATTCTAAAACATTAAATATCTTGGGATAGTTTCAAAAAAAATAAATAAAAAAAATATTTTTTCAGCCTTATTTAAAAAAAATATTAAAAATACAAGCGTAACTATAGTTGGTCTGTACTTACTTTCCTATAAAAAACCATACAGGGTGTTCAAAATTCTATGCCAAACTCTAAAATATAAAATCATTTTTCTTCTTTTTTTTAAATGGAACACCCTGTATATTATATTTTTGTTAGAGGGAGAATTAAAAAAATAACATTTTTTGTATTAAGTATTTTAAAATTTTTAGCGGTTTCGCAAATATTCGCGTTTTTATTACAAATGGCTCTTTTAACGGTAAAATACCATACAAAAATTATTAGATATAGGCAAAAATTACTAAAATATGTAATATATACGCAAAACAAAAAATCTGTTAAAATCTGCAAAACAAAAAATCTGTTAAAAATTTTGAAATACTGTAAATACAAAAAATGTTTATTTTTTAATTCTCCATTGAACAAAGGACTAATATACAGGATCTTCTATTTAAAAAACCGAAGAAAAATTATTTTATATTTTAAAAAGTTTAACACAGAATTTTAAACACCCTGTATGGTTAATTATTACGATATTTATAGGAAAGTTAAATACAGACCAACTATAATAAATACCTGGTATTGTTTTGATTTCAGGACATTTTTTTTAAAGGCTGAAAAAAATATTTAATTTATTTATTTATTAATATCTTTGGAAACCTGGGTGTCTGGGTATCCTGGGTGTCCCATTTAAAAAAAATTATCGCGATCCACTCACTTTTTTGAACCACCCTATAGAAGTGAAAGTATTTTCCTGAAACATCCTAATACATACTTTAGGTCTGCACTTAAAAAATCCAAAAAGTTTTTTTATTATAGGAGCTACAGATGCCCGACGCACCCTGTACACACGATATAATTGTATTTTTTTAATATTATTAGCTGAAGGTGGTGTGCTGAGAACAATAGGTGATATGGGTGCCGTTATGACATCTCTAACTTTAGGCCCCAATGGCAGAACTTTAGCGACAGCATCATCCGGGAATCACTCAAAGGCCTCTATTTATCATAAAGAATATCCGTTGGTAATGGACACGAAACTTAAAATAATTGAAATATTAGAGGTACATTATCATACTAGCAAAAATGACATTATACTAAATAAAAAAATAGTTTATATTAGATGTTCGCCTGGACTACCGCATAAGCTGCCTTTTAAGCATTTTCAAGCAAGAGTTCGACGAGTCTGAAAAACAAAGCGGAGGAAACATTAGTTTGGGTCAAAAGAACATAGATCTAGAGCTTATAGGAAGTCAGGCAGAAGGTATTTTCGGCAGCAGTGAAGAATCGGTCGTACTGGACTTGGACGGACATGGTGGAAGAACATTTCTTAGAGTTCTACTCCACCTTACCATGCACGATTATCCTCCTTTAGTTTCTGGAGCCTTGCATCTACTGTTCAGACATTTCAGCCAAAGGCAAGAAGTCTTGCAAGCCTTTAGGCAAGTCCAGTTGTTGGTATCAGACAGCGACGTAGAATCTTACAAACAAATCAAGGCAGATCTTGATGTTTTGAGACAAAGTGTAGAAAGATCGGAATTATGGGTGTATAAGTCAAAATGTAGCGAAGAACACGGCGCGGCAGGGAAGAAAAATAAAGAAGAAGAAGATGAGGCGCCTCCAAGCAAACCTCCGATGCTTAGCGTTTTAGAGAAAAAAGGATCCGCCATTAACCTGGACGTTGGGCCACCATTGCATCCAGAACAAGCAGATGAATATAAAAAGATTCAACAAATATTGATCAGGATGAATAAGTTATGCACCCTGGACGGCCCGCTGGTTAAACCCAGAAAACACGAGCAACGACTGTTAAGAAATGTCGGAGTTCATACTGTTGTTCTTGACTTACTTCAGGTTCCTTATGACGAAAAGGAAGATATCAGAATGAACGAACTGATGAGACTAGCTCATGAGTTTCTACAGAACTTCTGCCTAGGAAATCAGCAGAACCAAATTCTTCTCTACAAGCATTTAGATTTGTTTTTGAACCCTGGGGTATAGTGAACGATTCAAAACAATTTTTAAGTATGCTATTAATGAAATATTTTAGATACGGGAGGCGCAGACGGTTTGTGCAATATTTCAAGACAATCCTACGTTGTGCAACGAAGAAAATGAAAAAGTCATTCAGCATTTTGTGCATTGTATCGAAACACACGGCCGTCACGTTCAGTATCTCAAATTCTTACAAACCATTGTGAAAGCAGACAATCAGTTTATACGTAAATGTCAAGACATGGTTATGCAAGAGGTACATAGTAACTTTTATATTCGTTTTATTCAAGCATTTCTAGCATGAATCGTATTCTTTCTAGCTTATAAATGCCGGCGAAGATGTTTTGGTATTCTATAACGACAAAGCGTCATTTAATCATTTTATCGAAATGATGCGTTCCGAAAGGCACTGCATGGACGAAGGGAGCCCTTTGAAATACCACGTTGAGTTGGTCAAGCTCTTGGCTTGTTGCACCATGGGAAAAAATGTCTATACCGAAATTAAATGCCACAGTCTGTTGCCTCTGGATGACATAGTAGCCATGGTAACACATCCGGACTGTATTCCCGAAGTTAAAGAAGCGTATGTGGGATTTTTGCATCACTGTTACATCGATACGGAAGTTGAAATGAAAGAAATTTATACAAGCAATCACATGTGGACCCTTTTTGAAAAATCCTTTTTAGTTGATATGGCTGACATTGCAACAGCTCCTAATGACAGGAAACATCCCGACAAGGCTTTAGAAAATTACGTGACGAATTGTGTCATGAATTTAATCACCACATTCTTTAAAAGCCCATTTTCTGACCAAAGCACTACCGTTCAAGTAAGTGTTTAATTCTGTCAGTTCCCTCACGAATTTCCTGTTTTCTGCATGCTGGGGTTTTGGGATAGCTTTTTCAATTTAAAGCTTTCATGGTAGAGGTTCTTATGTATTGATAGTTTTTTTTTCAATCAAGTAAAAATCCTAGTAGCGAATTAAGAGAACGAACAAGAAAGACTATCAATATTGAATAAAGCGTTTTGGTTTCTTTTTTTGGGTATCTTGTTAGAAACATCTGCATGAGGCAAGGGTATATTGGAGCGATTCTTCAATGGATGATTATGATCCGTTTTCGAATAACACTCCGCTCAAACAGTCGCCATTTCCTGTTAATGTAAGTAGCAGTTTGTTTCTCTTCTATTGTAGCTTTTGTGATACTTAATCTAGCGCCAGGTATATTACACCTGTGGTTACAAAGAATAAGTTTTTAAGACCTGAAAATGATCTCAAAATATTTGCTTCAACTATAATACGCTTCTGTTACTCTTCCTGTTTTGCTCTGCTATAATACCACTAATGCCTATTTAGTTCTTAACAATTTATTCCCTCTGATCTCAGGTGATATACAAGCTATCTTAGGTTTGTGACCAATATTAAATTTAGTAAATCCAAATATATTAATATATGTACTTTGAATAACACGAATGTCAATTTGCGATGCCCTATTAAAAAAATATTGTGCCTTATAAAATATAATAAATAAAAAATGATAAAATAATTAGAAAATGATAGAGGTGCTTTGGGAAACCGACTTTTACTGAGCATGTGCTTATATACTTAATTTTTAGGGATATGTTACTCATCTTACGGTGGAGGTATCAGCTTTTTTTTTATTTTTCATATAGTTTTGTTTATCGAACCATTATTTTACAGACCAGGCAACCGATTTTTGTACAGCTATTGCAACTGGCATTCAGAGTGTCGCAGTGTCTTTGGTTATCGGCATCTCAACGCTTTAATGTTGAAAACTGCATTCGTACGCTATCTGAAGTTGGTTAGTGTACTTTATAAAGTCGATATATCGCAATACAATCGGGCGAATCTCAATTTCCCTCTTGATTTTCAGCTAAGAACCGAGGTATCGCCATTCCTTTAGATTTAGAAAGCCAAGTAGCGCCTATGTTCAATAAAGCCAGCATTTTAACAAGGCAGACTAGCAAATGGCTCAGCGCATCGAAAATACCAAAAATTGAGAGATCACAATCAACGGTACATACCCAATTACATGCCATAATTTAATATTGATTAATAAAGTATATATTTCTTTGCTTTAGCTAATGAGGTTAGATAGGAGTATCATAGAAGGGTTACAGGATATAGTGTCACTTTTAGAAGACCAACTGAAGCCCTTGGTTCAGTCTGAACTTTCTCTTTTGGTGGATGTGTTATACAGGCCAGAGTTACTCTTTCCTGAAGGGACAGAATCTCGAAAAAGATGCGAGAGTGGAGGTTTTATTCGAAGGTACTCGAGGGTTTCATTTAAAAAAAGAAATACAGGCATTAAAATACTTTCTAGGTTGATTAAGCATACCGAAAAGTTGCTAGAGGAGAAGGAAGAAAAGTTATGTGTAAAAGTTCTGAGAACATTAAGGAAAATGATGACCGTCGATCCGGATTACGGAGACAAGGTTAAATATAAACTTATTTTTAAGCCGTATTTGATAATTTTTAATTACATCTCACTTTTATCTTTTTCAAATGCTGCTTATAGAACGAAAATCACTCAAAAAGCGACATGGTATAGTATTCTTTGTTTTTTTTTCAGTGTGCACCCCTTCATCCATGTGTGGTATTTTTTATTATTTGTGTATTTAGCTTTAATGGACATTTAGTATTTTTGGCTTGTTTAAAATGATGTGAATATAAAAAAAATAAAATTAAATAAAACATTTTAGGGTGATGATCTCAGAACTAGTTTACTAACAAGATATTTTGGAAAACATTTTGTTCAAAATCATGAAACTATTACTCTTCCAAGTTATTCGGCTACAGTTACACATGGACCTGGAGCGAAAATTATCAGCAGAGCTGGTCAAACTCTACACGATGTTCAATCGCATTTGGATAAAGAAGGTGCTTCAGACTTGGTGGTGGAATTGGTCATCAAATCCGTAAATTCACCGTCAATTTTTGAGGAAGCGGTAGAGCTAGGTATAGCCCTCTTGGAAGGCGGCAATTCCACGATACAAAAGAGCGTGTTCAATAAACTTTTGGGAGGTGACCTCAGTCAATCTTTTTTTAAGGTAGATTTTTAAATCTATAAAATAATTCAAAGTGTTACTTACATTTTTTGGGACCGAAAAATATCAACTCACTTCAAGCGATGTGTAAAACGAATAATTAAACTATTTTAATTTGATAAATAAACAATAGCCAGCCTGAACTTCTAAGTAATAACAAATTTATCAGTTAATGTGAAATTCTTTTATTGCATTATTGAGCTAAGCGACCTCTAAAGTATATACGTGGTGACTAAAAATTTATCTTAATAGCATTTCTGCAATATTTTAATTATGTTACTTATTTCCCTTTTTTATTGCTGTTTGCTAGGTGTTTCATGATAAAATGAGAGACTCCGAGTCAGAAATTAAATCAACTGTGAGCGTGAACACTTCGGATATGGCTGCGAAAGCTCACGAAGATAAACAAGATGGCAAGGAAACCGATAAACTGTCAAAAAAGCAAGGAAAGACTAACGGGATTCTTATCAGTGAAGAACTAAGAGAGGAATTAAGTAGGGCCGCCGAAAGCACATCTCAGGCTTACGCTCAAATAAGAAATATGGCTTCCGGCGACGACTCTGTTATTTCTACAAGCGCTGCTAGCGCTTTTGAAGACCTGTTAGCGGAAAAGTTGGAGAAACATCGCGATAGAGAAGAACAGAACGGTCTCCCAAACAAAGTGTTAATAATGCAACCTATTTTAAGATTCTTGCAGTTGTTGTGCGAAAACCACAACCCGAAATTACAGAACTTGTTGCGTAATCAAAACAACAAGACTAATTACAACCTAGTCTCGGAAACTTTGATGTTTCTAGACTGTATCTGCGGATCCACCACGGGAGGTCTTGGCCTGTTAGGCCTGTACATAAACGAAAATAACGTAGCTTTAATAAACCAAACTCTAGAAACCTTAACCGAATATTGCCAAGGACCTTGCCACGAGAACCAGAACTGTATCGCCACTCACGAGTCCAGCGGATTGGATATAATTACAGCGTTAATTCTGAACGATATAAATCCTCTGGGAAAGTGCAGGATGGACTTGGTCTTGGAACTAAAAAACAATGCTTCTAAATTACTGCTCGCCATCATGGAAAGTCGCGGGGACAGTGAGAACGCTGAGAGGATTTTATCAAACATGAACCCTAAACAGCTAGTCGAGGTCGCTTGCAAAGCATTTCATCAGGAAATGGCTGAAGATGACGACGATCTGGATGACACCAGCGTCGAAGACGTGGTTTCTCCCAAGGACGTAGGGCACAATATCTATATCCTTTGTCATCAGCTCGCCCAGCACCACAAGGAGCTAGCGACGCTTTTAATACCATCTGACTCTCTGGATCCCAAAGTTCAAAAAGCTTTGGAATATTACAATACTCACACGGCACAAATCGAGATAGTTCGGCACGATCGTACCTTGGAACAAATCGTCTTTCCTATACCAGAAATATGTGAATATATTACCAAAGACACCAAAATCAAAGTCCTCAACACTGCTGAAAGAGACGACCAGGGATCCAAAGTGGCCGACTTTTTCGAAAGGACCGATGACATGTTCAATGAAATGAATTGGCAGAAAAAACTAAGAAGTAATGAAACCTTTAATAATAATTATAGTTTTCAGTCGGCATATAACTTTGAGTTCTAATTTTCGTTAATGATAATGACAGGCATGTCTTGTTTTTCTAATTTTTTAAAAGTAATTAATATGAAATCAAAGTTATATGTTGGTATATTCTGACAATGACAAATCCCTAGGAAATAAGTTTGCAATTCATACTCTTCGTGAAGTACTTAAACTTATTTCCTGTCGAGTGATAAACAAATATATGAATACACTTTTATGTTATTTTAGCTCAGCCTGTGTTATTTTGGGTAAGCAGCTACATGTCTTTATGGAGCAATATTCTATTTAACTGCGCTGTACTGATCAATCTTATAGTAGCATGTTTCTATCCTTTTGAAGACATCTTGCCAAGTACGACAATTAAATCATATATTATACAAACACAATGAAGGTTCCAAATTTATTTTTAGAAATAAGTTCTACGATTTCCATACTGATTTGGTTCGCAATGTTAGTGTCATCAGCAATAGTTATAACTCTACCAAGAGAAACGGGTATCAGGACATTAGTAGCATCTACCATTTTAAGACTCATATATTCTTTGGGACCTGAACCAACGCTGTGGTTGCTGGGCTCTGTAACTATAATCTTAAAAGGTATACATCTAGTCAGCATTATGGGTAACCATGGGACCCTAATAAAAACATATCAGCAAATATTAACTGATGCAGAGTTAGTATACCACCTCACATATCTGGTTTTTTGTATGCTAGGTCTTGTAATGCATCCTTTCTTCTACTCAGTCCTGGTAGGTTCAAGATTATAAAAAATATAATAGAAACTTATATTTGTCAGTGTTTTAGCTGTTTGATGTAGTATACAGAGAAGAGACTTTGTTGAACGTGATCAGGTCAGTTACAAGGAATGGAAGGTCTATCATTCTAACGGCGGTCTTGGCACTGATCTTGGTCTACATGTTCTCCATAATTGGCTTTATGTTCTTCAGAGATGATTTTATTGTCAGCGTTAAAAAGAAAGATGGTAAAGATTACAGTCGTATCAAATACCCCGCGTTACACAAATATTATTATTATCTGTAGACGAAACATGCGAAAAATTATCCGACCTCACTGGTCATAACTACAAGGAAGATTCAACTCACGAGTACTGCGAACTCGTCGATCCCGGTGAGGAAAAGAAAGAGAGAGCTTGCGATTCTTTGAGAATGTGCATTGTCACCACTTTAAATCAAGGTTTGCGGAATGGAGGTGGAATTGGAGATATATTGAGAGAACCAAGCAGCGAGGTATGTCAAAAAGCTGCCTTTATTAAAAAAATAAACTAATATGTAGATGTATATTTTTTTTAGGAATCATTATTTGTCCCAAGGGTTGTCTACGATCTTTTGTTCTTCTTCGTTGTGATAATTATAGTACTTAATCTTATTTTCGGTGTCATCATTGACACCTTTGCTGATCTGAGATCTGAGAAACAACAAAAAGAGCTTATACTCAAAAATACCTGTTTTATTTGTGGTAAACAACCAAATAAAGAGACTTATACAGGGTGGTCCGAATTGTTTTTGGGAAACTTCGGCAGTATATTCAGCAGATAAATATAAGTAAAAAAGTTTCTATAAATTTATGTCCTAAAATGCTTCGTTTTGGAGATACAGGGTGTAGAAGATTCATTTTATTTCGGTTGTTAAAATAATTTCGGAACTATAGTCTATATTTTGATGAAAATTGGTGTCTGGATGTTTTTTAACATGAGAAATTTGATTTCGATGTCAATATGACTCCTATTTGTAGTGGGCGCCATCTACATAGGCTTTAACTGTTTTGAAGAGTAATAACCTTTCGTCCGTACATGTATAAAATCTACGAGTAAAAAAGTATACATTTCCGTCATTTTTTACGCAAAAAATGTCTCTTGGTAAAAATCGCTACGAGCAACGGTTCTCAAGATATTTAGAATGGCATAAATAGTGAATACATGTCATTATTGACAAAAAATAAACATGTTGAGTACATTAGTTATTTGACTGAAATGATAAATTCGGTAACTTTTTAAATTTTTAAATTAATCATAAATTTTTCTTCGAAAAAAATATGATAAAACAGTTTCTGTTCAGCTTTTGGCACAAAAACATTTCATATTTATTATTTCAGTCCAGGTATTGATAATTTCGATTCCAAATATCTCGAGAACCATTACGCGTAGCGATTTTTACCAAGAGACATCGTTAATCTATATTTTTTTACTCAGTAGTTTTATACAGGTACGGACGAAAAGTTATTTTCTTCAAAGCAGTCGCAAATATGTAGGTGGCGCCCTCTACAAGTAGGAGGCATATTGATATCTAAATCAAATTTTTCATATCAAAAAACACCTAGTCACCAATTTTCATTAAAATATCGATGTTAGTTCCGAAATTATTTGTAAAAAACTGAAATAAAAATGAAACTTTTACAGCTTGTATCTCCGAAACGAAGCCTTTTAGGACATAAATTTATACGAACTTTTTTACTTATTCTTCTCTGCAGAATATGCTGGCGAAGTTTCCCGAATACGTTTTGGACCACCTTGTAGATTTATTTTTTTAAATATATTTGTCGTTTTTAGGATTAAACAGGTCGGCGTTTGATAACAAGACTGTGAGTTTCGAGGAGCATATAAAGAGCGAGCACAACATGTGGCACTATCTGTACTTCATCGTTCTGATAAGAGTTAAGGACCCGACTGAGTTTACCGGTCCAGAGAGCTACGTGTACACTTTGGTGAAGTCCTTAAATCTGGATTGGTTTCCTAGACTTCGTGCTATGTCTCTGGCTGCGGTGGAGGGTGACGGGGAACAAATCGAGCTCCGAAGCCTGCAGAATGTTTTGGAAAGCACTCAATCTCTTGTTAAAAACCTGTCCCATCAGCTGATGGAGTTGAAAGAGCAAATGGCCGAGCAGAGGAAGCAGAAACACCGTTTGGGGCTCTTAAATTCGGCCTCGGCTTACTTGCAGACAAACAATTTCTCTTAATGTAGATTGATTAGAATCAGGATAGTTTCAGAAATCTCATTACTGAATCTTATTATACTTCTTTTAGTTTGTTGTTCCCACCGCGAAGTTTATCCAGCGGAAGAGTTATAGATTAGTTAGGATTTTTAAGAAAAAAATAGATCTTTTCCTTAAAAAAACTGTGTCGAAAGTAATAGAAGGCATCGTGCAATCTCATCAAATTTGAAATTTTATCGTATATATTTTTTTGTAGAGAATTTTATATTTTTTAGATCTGTTAATGCTCAACTTGTTAATACTGTTTACAATTTTACGAAATTTTGTTCTCGTAAACACGGCGATAGTCTTACCTATATATTTTATGTAGAAATATGTTTTTAATTTTTAAAAGTGTTGTGGTAGTAGGGTTGTTTCTTTATGAGCAATATTTTGTTGTCCATTTTTTTAAACTGTAAATTTTCCCAAAATAAAGTCTATTCAAGCGTTTTATTTTTTGTTTGTTTCATTTTAAATATCATTTTTCCAGGGAATACTATTTTTATATATCTACTATTCACTGAATAATAAATATTAGTTATGTTTATGCATATATACTCCATTCAGATATGATTGAAAAAAGCCGAAATCATATCTAAATTTAAAAAAATGAAGTAAAACTAATTTTCATGACCATATATATGGAAAAAAGTTCAAAAATCGCTCATTTTGGTCATTTTTTCATGTTTTTCGGTCGTAAAATTTTAAAAATTACAGTATTTGTAGTTTATGTAGATTTAGGATATACATATTAACCTTTGAGGGTTCAAATGGTGTGGTTTTACGAAAAAGATAATTTATAGAACCCTTGTTTCTGAGCGACTTTTGATTTGGCCAATGATTGAAACTTTGGATACACGTTTGGAAAATGATTAAAACTTTGGATACACCTCCGAGTTTCCAGAATTAGTATTAAATATAGTAATACATTATGAAAAAATGGAAATATAATTTATAAATTGATTGTTAGAGAAACTGTCAATATTTTTTTTTATTTCCGCGCTTTCATCCATTCCTGAATGAACTATATCTTTTCCAAACCAGCGTTTTGAATACTAAGTAACCTTTGGTTCCTTTCTGTTTATCCAGATATCTTAATAGTCAACAATAAAACTATTAGAGCCAAATGATAACCCGTAAAAATTCAAAAATATGCCTTTTTCAGTGGCCAGTATAGGGTCAAACACGATGAATAGCGTAGTGACTTACAGGCACATTTTAAGCTTCTTCGACGGTAAGTTGTTTTAAAATATAGTTCTAAAAATACGTACAAGCTGGCGCTGTATAGCCTAAATCGATGCTACGGGTTGAAAATATAAGTTGCAGATGTCTCTACTGTATAAATATACAATCTTTATTAATACTCGGTTCGGTTCGCGATCAGTTAAAACAGCTTGTTGTCTACAGTAAACTGTTTTACAGCCGGTTTTCGGGTTATAAACATCGTAGAAGTTGGCACCTTTGAAACGCTTTGAATTTTTTAAATTTAAAAAGTCCAGTATCAAGCGCATTATTTCTTAAATCGAATGTACAGCAAAAATCGTCGAAAAAAGTTTGTGTTTCATCGAGGTTTTTAAAGGAATAAAAAAACTGTACGATGCCGGAACGTTTCAAAGTTTCCCGGGCGGAAGAGGCGAATAATTACAATAGTTTTAACGATACACAAGAAGACTCCCAGTTTAGTAGTTACAGTGATCCAAAAGACGACCAAAGAATTAAAGAAAAACTCTTACCGCAACAGAGCCAATACACAGGTAAATAAATAATAACAAAACCAAAATCGATGTTACGCACAGTGCAAGTTTACCATGGAAGGGTACCTGACCAAGGGTGGCTGATATCTCCCCTAATTTTCAAGTACCTGAAGGGTAAGGGCACGATTAAAAAAGGGTCGATCGTGTCAAAGTCTATTTTTAAACTTTCACCAATTATTCGGAAACCTTACTCTGCCTCCTGGTGTTGTGATAGCTACTGTAACATAATGCCGGTTAATTATAAACAACGTACATGAATAAACCGCCTACTAAGTGGTAAACATTAGCTGAACAATCATTTTTTTCAGTTTAGATCAATTAACACAACACTTACGGCCTTTTAAATTTTATTTTTATTTCTATTATAAACTTTAAAATGGCCCAAAATTATCACATTTTTCACATATTTTGAATTCTATGTATGTACCAACCTCAACAAACTTCCGATGTTTGGTTTATCACGATAGGGAAAGTATTATCTGCAACGCAGGAGAATAGAACAAAAGTTATATTGTGCGTGCTTTATAATATTTTATAAATAATTTTTAATAATACATTTTCTTTTATTAACAAATATTTTTGTTTAAAATACTAAGTATATTCGGATATACAGGGTGAGTCTTAAACAAGTGAACGTATTTTTAGGGCTATTGATAAAAAAGCCATTTTTTCTCTTTAAAAAATGTTTATACCTTAATCATTTATTTTTATTAGACTATATTAAAAAACTCTTTTATTTTTCGTTTAGAGGTTATCGCTTTATATTTTCTCAATACAATTTCTTGAGCGAAAAAAAATTAAAATTATTTCTGGGAAATATACCACCTCTAAAATATGTGGGACTGAATTAAGACTCACCCTGTATAATAATTATCACATCAAAAATAAGTAAACCAGGATCTCTATGATCCTCACTAATTTCTAATATTTTTATCATATACCTGATAAATAACAGAAATATTATATTTTGCCAAGGAAATAAAAATTATAAACTTCTAAAGAATACATGACATAATAATATTGCTGTATATCATTTATGAAATAACTCATATACATAGGTTTGAAAAAATTATGTCAACTTTTAAATATATAATAGTCAAAAAATAAAAAATAGTTAGAATAATAGTTAAAATTTAAAATTCATAAAATAGCATTAGTATCACAGCTGAATGAAGTTTAGAGAAGATAAAAAAAAACATCTTCTCTTTAACAAATACCATGCTAAAAGTAGTTAAAAAAATTAACTACGATATTGATTTTATTTAAAGAAAAAGAGCAAATTAAGCCTTTAAATCCGAAACCTTAATTTATTTCAATTCAACTTAAGATAGTTCTCTTCGCTCTAAAAGAAGATTTATATATTTTTTTACCCCAAGCGGTGTAATGAAACTTTTTAAATTGCCTCTTTTTAATACATATTTATAAAGCATACCATCAGCCTCTTTGTTACCTTTCTGTAAGCTTCGTTTGATTTTTTTTAAGGCCCTCATGATTGAATATTAAGGAACGTAGACATGAGAGAAACGTACAAAATTGAACGAAATTTTGAAATAAATTAGTTTTAGAAGTAAAAAAATCAAAGGAGGTTATGCACGATATATTAAAAAGTTAAAAAAAGAAAGATACTTTTTTCCTAAAAGTTAATTCTTATTCTCATTTATAACTTAATTATTAATTTCGATTTTTTTTGTTTATTTATGTTATTTTTAATTTGTTATACCAACACTCATAATTTGTCATGTCATTTATTTTTGAATAGTTGAAGTATATACCGGGTGCGTCTGAAAAGTGGCTCACCCCTATAACTTTCTAATTTTATTAGATAAAAAGTCGAGATTTAGTATGTTAGTATATGACAAATTAGGAATTAAATGGCATCCTCGGTATATTTTTACTTTATTCGATAGAAAATGACACTGTGAATAGAATGACATTTGGCAAAATCATTTTTTGCGAATAATTTGGTACCAAACACTTGGTATATATATTTCGAGTAAAATTGTTGTTATGAACCGCAAGTTACAATTTCAAATAAACCACACGCGAAAACGTCAAAAGTTGAGATATAATATGTCATTCTATTCAGAGCGTCATGTTCTATCGAATAAAGCAAAAACATACACAGTGTGTCATTTTCGGTGAAACAGGAAGTGACAAGGCAACATACCAAATCTCGTTTTTTTTATCTAAAAAAATAAAAAAGTTATAGAACCACTTTTGAGACGCGCCCGGTATAATAGTACTACATTCTATAAAAGTTGTTAGTTTTAGTTCACTATTCTTCTAACTGAAATTGTAAAATTTAAAGCACGCTTTATTGTTAGAGCCCATAACTTTTATGACGTTTTAACTCTAATACAGTCCACGACAAAATTATATTTACTATACACATACATAGTATCGACACTAACTGTAAGAAAAAGTCAATTTTTGGCCGTTTGGTATGACGAAAATATTTCAAAGAGTTATGAAAAAAATAAGAATACAAATAAAATAAAAAAATGATAGTTCTATTTCCGTACCAAATGTTTAATAAAACCACTGATTTTAAAGTATCTAATAACGGTTCAACTTCTGATGTTGATTTTCAAGAACGAAATACAGCAATACAAGAATATGTAGATTTATTTTTGAACCAAGTATTTAATCAAGTTCAAGGATCTAATAACGTTGAACGTCTGAAAATTTTCAAGTAAAAAATACAGCAATATAAGAAGTTATTGGTCTGTTTTTGCACCAAGTATTTAATTAGATATAATATCTAATTTTGTTTAGCTTCTGACAATAATTCTTCGCTTTTGATAATAATAAAAATGAAAACAAATGTAAATCGAACCATATATTTTTTGAGTTCGTGTAAAAAATGGCCCTATAAATTTTCCAATTCCCAACAAGGATCTGACTTTTTCTCCATCTAAATCCTGCCCTGTAGCCCCTACTCGCGAATGACTGTAAACAATAACAATTCCAGAAACGAAAAATAACAAAGGAAATGTTTCTCGAACTCCACATAAAAAAAATAATTTCCAACATCGATGCGGGAAATATTTTGGTGGAACTCTGCTAGAGTAAATCGCCTAGAACGGATTTTCTAAAAATAAAACGCTGCAATGCATGGTCACCTTCCATTAGATATATTAATGAGGAGAACAAGTGCTTATATAAGCCTCCTTATTAATTAAGAACTTTTATTTTAACAAAAAACTCGGTGGCATTAAGGAAATTGCAAGGAAATGTTGGGAACTTGAATGAAAAATCGGGAGCAGGACCTATTTACATGATGTCATCGATCTAGCTGTAGTGATATAAAAAGGGGTAATTGCCTTTAGACACGCAAGCGAAAGCTTCCCCTCAATGTCAAGGCGAGAAATTGAAGTTTAAGGTATATGACCTTATTAAGGAAAGTTATAGAGACAAAGAAAAACTCGCAAAGGGGTATATTTCTCCATATCGATTATCCAAGAGCTGGGAAAGGTGCATGAACTGTATGAATATGAAATTTATGAAAATGACATAATATAAATTCACAACTGAATTTTGCGTGATACATACTATCTAAATTTGTCAGAACTACAATATTGTTTTAATCCATGCCAATTTTTTGGCCTTTTTTACGTTTTAAGCTCATAGAAAAATATTAAATGTAGTCATAAAAATTTATAAATTTTAGACTTCGTGAAAAATGTTATGTGCTATAAGAAAATCGATAATTTCGATTTGAGTTTCTGAAAGATGGTGTATCCTATATCTAAGACTGTACTTGTAAGGCCAGAATTGTCTGTATTTTCTTATTCTGCACACTTTAATAATATATGCATGGAAGTCAGTCGAAAAAATGTCAAGTTTTGGCTATTTTTACACGCCTTCTAAGCTCCTGAAAAAATAGTAGTTATAAATGAAATAGAACTATGAAAATTTTAGTCCATGTAGGAAATTTTATGTACTTTCAATATATATAAATATAAACGTTTAAAGACTAAAATGCCTTGGTATTATGAGAAAACCTACTATTTAAACCCTTGTTTCTGAATTATTTTTGAGAAGGGTAACATTTCGTCTTGGAATTTCTAGTTGGAGAATATGAACAATTTTCATGACGATATATGGAAAGAAAATCGAGAAAAGAAAATATAATACGAAGTTCAGGGGAAAACATGATCAGCGGCATTTCACTGATTTTACAGGAAAGCACTAGACGGCTAGTAATTACAGGTTCTTTCCGTGTATGCTATATTTTTATTACGCATATATCATAGGATTTAACAGCTTATTGCCCTGAGAGTTTATACGTTTTGTAGGGACCAGTTAGAACTACTATAATATTGTATGCAGTAAAATCCTAAAATTAAGAAATTGGCGCTTATCAAGTCTTTCGACTGGACCCTTCATATGAAATTATACATAAAATTCTGCGTGATACCCACTATCTAAATTTATTTGAACATGTGATATAGGGATTAATAAGCAGATATATTTTTTTTTAAATTTGTGTATTCCGCTCTAAAATGAATATAACACACGTAGCTCCGTCAATAAACAAAGAGATGTGTATACGCACACTTATTTATCCCGGTCATGTGGAAAATGGCACGTTTTGTTTTGATAAAAAAGGGATTCTTTTTAAAATGCAGTCTATAAATATAAGTCTCTTCAGTTCTCAAAGAAATACCACTACAAAGCCTGGAAGATGGTTGAGAAAAAGGGAGCCTTTTTATTTACAAAGAACTCACTCAAGAAGTTTTTCGCAATAACTATAGGCGAGAGATATGGCAATACCCTCTACTTGACTCTTTCTTCTTTGTCACGAGAAGTGAAAATAAAAATAACTGTAATGGTTTTTTTTCTTTAAATGAAATATATCGATCATACTTTGTGACAAGGCAGTCCAATTTTCAATTCAAACCTCTTTATAATCTTGATTTAATTAATCAAGACAACCAATTCTATGATTATTAAAAAAAAATCTAATATGGAACGTCAGTTAAGATTTTACAAAACGA